AAAGGAAAGGAAAGGAAAGGAAAGGAAAGGAAAGGAAAGGAAAGGAAGAAAAATTCATGTCGCATATATTATATGCTAGCCATCACCCTAAACACCTTTTAAATATTATCTCATTTGACCTTCACAACAACCCTGTGAGGTAGTTATTATTATAAGTCCCATTTTACAGTTGAGGAAACTGAGGCAGGCAGCAGTTAAATTCCTTGCCCAGGGTTATACAGCTTGCAAGTGTTTGAGTCCGGATTTGAACTCAAGTCTTCCTGACTCCAGACTCAGAACTCTTGCCACCAAGCTACCGAGCAAAAACTTAAAGGAACCAATTAGTAGCTGGGCTGAAGTCAAAATCAATTCTTCTGATAATTTCCTCTGATGTTCTTCCCGGTATCCTTCCCAGGCCAGGGTACAAATGGATCCTTGGTCATGCTTTCCAATTTCATAATCAGACTTATTAAAGACTCAGCTTTTCATACCTCCATATTAAATGCTATGCAAAAGATAAGACCAGAAAAGACATGGTTTCTATTCTCTAGAAGCTGATGCTCATAAGTATAAAGATAGCATAGATGAAACAGATGCTTCAGGGAACTATAATTCCTAATATATGAGGGAGGGGTAGGCATTTACAAAAAAGAAGTTGCACTCTGATAATAAATATTGTGATTAAAATTCTTAATAATTATAATAAGATGCAAAGGAAATAAGTAATGTCAAAGTATATCCATGTTTTCAAATATGACATAAGCAGCCTTTCTTCAACAACTCATTCTTTCATTCATAAGTATTTGCTGAATACCTTGTACAAGACACTTTGCTAGGATGGTGTGGAATAAAAAAGAATAAGGGGCAATCTCTTAAATTTTGAAGTGTGAATGGTTATTTTTCTGGTGAAGAAGGGCTAAGAAGAATTTGAATCTGAAAGGTCTTTGAGGTTTCTTGGAATTGTTGATTCAGGGAATACTCTGGATTTAATGTTGAAATCAACTTTGATGCAGAAGAATAGGATTTTGTTCAATTTAAAGTCTTAACTGCCCTTTACCTAATATCAATTTGGCAGGTCCTGTGGAATGGGAAGACCGAGAAGATGAACCATTAAAAAAGAAATCTGATGGTCCAGGTAAATCAACAATGACAAAAATAACATTAAATACAGGCCATGGGGAATGCTATCTTCCACCATCATTACTGGTCAGGTTATGTGATGACATTGTTGAAAACTTTTTTATTGACTGTTGCACTGACTTATAGTTTTCCCTTGGATAGTCATCATTGCTGTAAATTATTATTGATTCCTAGAAGTAGACCTTAAATTGACCTTTATATTACTGGACCAAAAATATGGTTGATTGTGGCTCAGTTTTCTGAGGTGTATCAGAAAATATTCAAAGAAAGAAGGTTCTGATGAAGCCACATTATGATACAAATCCCAAGTATATAAACAGCTTGTAAAAAAGGAAAAGAGAAAAAAAGAAGAATAGGCCAGTATATGGGTGTAAAACTTGAACTATTCCCCATTTGAGGAAAAAAAACATCACTTTTCATATTAAATAACTACCTATATCTGCTAAATTGTTATTCTCTTCTATATTTTCACAGTTGTAAAACCCTATGTGTAGTTTTGGATTTTTATTTCTTTTCTCCTTTTTTGGTTGTTTTTGTTTTTGTTTTGCGAGGCAATTGGGCTAAGTGGCTTGCCAAGGTCTCACATCTAGTAAGTGCCTGTCTGAGGCCAAATTTGAATTCAGATTCTCCTGACTCCAGGGCTGGTTTTCTATTCACTGCACCACCTAACTGCCTCTATTTCTTTATTTTTTTAGACAAGATATGCACAAATTTTTAAGAGTGAATGACATCTTCTGGCTCCAAATGAGACTATCTGCCCTTAAGAAAATTGTTTTTGGCACCAGTCTGCATTGGCACTATGTATTATAATTGGATTGTACTTTTTCATACAATGGCAATGATAAACTCCCAAATTATATTCATTTTTGATTGCTTTTAGAAATCATAATAACATTGAATCCATTGTAATATGTTACTTTATTAAACAAAATTGGATGTACCCCCAGTCACAACATGTCTCATAAAATGTAGCTTTAACATGTTAACAGATCTGTAATCTCATCATCGTGAGGACTCCTTCCACCAGAATAGATCTCAACCTCTCCTAATCTAATGTGATTCTTATCTATATCTATTCTGGTCCATGCCTAGCTCAGGTTAGTCTAATGTATCAAGCTCAGGGTTCCAATGCAATGACATACTAGTGAATCATAAAATGCCCTCCCCCCAAAAAAAGGAAGAAGAAAAGAAATGGAAAAAAGAAACACAAAGGACTTTACTAAAAACAAAAAATAAAAAGGATAAAATGCCTAAGGTTAAAAAAGAGTAATTCTTATAGAAGGGTATTCTATTCTGGCTTAGCAACTTACCATGCTAAATCAGAGAGATATTCTGAAGGGCAGTTGGGCTTCTAAACCTCCTACATCAGTTCCCCATAGGCCAGTCCTTTTATGCCTCAGCGCCAAAGAAGACAAATCAGGGATGATCCCATGACTTATGTCCTTACCCTCTCAAAGGGAAATAAGCCCCAGCCTTTATTTATAGAACTCATAGGATTCTAGCAGCACTCCTAAAGAATGTAGTTGTTCAGTCATATCTGACGCTTCATGACCCCATTTGGGGTTTTCTTGGCAAAGATACTGGAGTGGTTCGCCATTTCCTTTTCCAACTTACTTCACAGTTGAGGAAACTGAGGCAAACAGGGTTAAGTGACTTGCCCAGGATCACATAGCTCGTTAGTGTCAGTGGCTGGATTTGAACTCAGGTCCTCTTGACTCCAGGACCAGCATACTATCTACTACACTATCTAGCTGCCCATTCACTCATAAAGAGCTAGAAGACACCTAAGAGATCACTTAGTCCAATCCCTTCATTTTACACACAAGGAAACTCAGACCCACAGTAGAAAAGTTACTTTCCCTTATATTTATATAACTAGTAAGTAGCAAAGTCAAGCACTCTAAGTAACTCCTTCATGTTTTCTACATTCTATACTCTCCATCCCCCATTGTTGTCATGATATTTCCCATTTCTTGGTCTTTGTCCATACATACTGCAGGCCTGAAATGGTCTCCTTTCCCTTCCCTGTAATCTTACAATATAAAATTTCCTTCTTTCAAGAACCAATTCAAGTATTAATCTTTCCTCTGCATTTCCCATGTTCTCCTTTGTATCAAGGTTATTTCTATATATGCTCCACCTCACCCCAATCCACTAATTAATTTGAAAACTCTTTGACAGCAGGTTCTGCATATCCCCAATACCTAATACAGAGTAATTAATAGAAACATTATAGATATTTATTAAACAACTTAAAACTGCTGTATTTCATCCTCCCAGATAACATCATCAAAAGGATATTCAATATTTTAAAGTTTACCTGGGTCCTCTTTTTGGCATCAGTGGATAGTTTTACGACTTGGCTTAATTCAATTTCACGGGAGCACATCGATATATCTACAGTGTTAAGAATTGAGCGATGCATGCTGACCAGAGAAATTAAAAAGGTAACACTATTGATACCATTATCTTCTCCTCTTTTCACTCACAAAATTTGAAGACTGAGTTGAGTTTCTAAAGAGAGATGATATACTATCCTTTTGTCAAGAAAACTCAATACCATCCTACTTCCTTTTAGCATACAAGAAGCCATCTCACACTCAGAAATAGAATGAAAAATAGTCATTTGTGGCTGGAACATAGAGTTGCCCCAACTACAAGTTGGGATTTGAGAAATTTTCCCTTGATTTCATGAATTGTGCCTGGAATGTATCATAGCAAATATGATATATTTGTGTACAGAAGCAAGTAATTAAAGCTGAGGATGGAAAAGGGTGGGTGTATGTAAGATGTATAGAAGGTACACAACTGAATTCTGAGAAGCAACCAGATCTGGAGCTAGAGAAATCTTTCATTCTCGGTTGGTTTCTGCTTTCCTTTAGGGCAATGTTCCAACTCGGGAGAGCATCCATATGTACTATCAGAACCACATTATGAATCTTTCTAGAGAGTCTGGACTGGACACAATTGATGAAAACCCTGGTGCTGCTTCAGGCTTAAAAACAGCCCGAAGAATGGATAGCTTAGATTCTCATGACAGTATTTCCAGGTATTTCATTTTTTTAAACAATAATTTTTTCTCAATTTATAAAGGCCATAAATCTACACCAGAACATTTTATGAAGAACTAATTGCATGAAGGGAGAGTTAATTACAAATTTTTCACTATCCTATCCTTATGCAAATAATAAAAGTTGTTCTATTATCTTCAGCAAATATCTTAGTCAAATAATTGGAAATATCTGTAAGAATTTGATGTAAATTATATTTTTCCTTTAAACTATTCTATTGATTTTTTTCTATATCACTGTCTCTTCCCAATGATTCACTCCCAAATAGGAGTCTTTCTTGTAGAAAATACAAGTAAATAAGTCAACATAATTGGCCTTGTCTGAAAACATATGCCAACATCCACATTTCTAGTCTTCTATCTCTACCAAGAGGCAGGAAGCATATTTTGTCATCATTAATACTCTGCAGTCACACTTAAATATTGCATTGTTCAGAGTCCTTCATAGCTTTCAATGTTGTTTTCCTTTACATTACTGATATCTGCATTCATTTCCTAGAAGTAAATCAGAGGCATCAAGCTAAGAATTCCTGATTATGGCAAGGCCTGCCACTTGAACAATGATTGAACTTCCATGGCATCCATTTGAAATTTGTACAGCATTTTTTTGTGATACTCCTCCTGCAATTTCCTTTCTTCTTAGAAGCATTACAATGATTCCTAATAACATATCAAAAGTAACACATTTGGATCCTATCTATGTATGTTTCAATGCAAGTTTAAAGAATTATCCAGATAATTGAGCCCCCTATCCTCCAAAAAATTACTTTTGAGAAAAAAGCTATTTCTTCTTAATTATCTGATGTGGCTGTTTTTGTTTTCCATAGCTATTATTAAATTTATTATCTGTATACAAACTTTCCATTTTCACAGGCAAAAGTTTTCTCAGCTAAGAATGTAGAAAAGGTCTTTAGAAGATTTTTTTCATTGTATTTATATACATTCAGACACACATGCACAAGTCTACAGATGTCCTCTTCCTGGAACAGTTTTCTGAGGATCTTATGAAAAGAAACAGCTCAAATAATTTATAATTGAAAACAGAGGCATGTATATTTACATGTATATATGTATGTATATAGATATGTACACTAGTATGTGTATATAGATATACATGTTTATGCACAATAATTTCACTCTGCATATATGTGTATATGTATGTATGTATGTGTGTACATATGTGTGTACACACACACACACACAAGCAGAGACAGAGAGTCTATGTCTAAAATCCTTTCCTGAAAATAAGTTAGGAGAGAAACAGATTAGAATAACAAAAATAATAAATGATGTGACTATAAAATAATCTGACATGATTTGTAACACACATGCCAGAAAACAAATGTCCTTTCAAAGTACTAACTTTGGGAATCTTCACATTTATTTCAGTGATATTACTACTAATTAAGTTATTTTTAGAACTCCTCTTTTCTAATTGTCTTCAGAGCTAGTTGATGGTCTCATTACTTTGTAGTCAGTCCCTATTATTCAGTCCAAAAATAGTTTAATCACCTGTATTACATTTGGCTGTCTCTGGAAATCAAATCGACTTAGGGAAAAAATAGTCATTATTGTAGCATTCAAAATAAGGTTCTACAATGTACTGAAAGAAACTCCAAAAAATATCTAAAACTGTTTTGAGCAGAAGCATAATTATTGTAATAAGCATAACTTCTATAGGTGACTACTTTGAAGTATATAGCTCTCACTGGAACATGTAAACTCTGGTGTGACACTTTTGTCACAAAACCAGTAACATAGCTTTGGAGTCTGGGAATCTACCTGAAGTAATAAATACACTATTGGCCTTGAAAGAGTTGCTTATTATCCCAAGTATCTCATTTACTTCCAAGATTTACTTGGGCAACAGAAAGACTTGAGCCCATTTCCTCAAAACCAAACCCCAAAGCAATCATTTTCATGTGAAATTGTGTTTTGAGCAGGCCAAAACAAGAAATGCTAAGTGCCAGAGAACTCTTTGTAATCATTGCTAGGAAAATCAAATGAGAAGCTATATGTAAAGCACTTAGCAAACTTTAAAGTGCTAAATAATTGCAAATTATGTTATCATTATTATTATTATATTATCATTTCTACATTGTCAGTTGAAAGTTGTAAGGTCATATCTATTCTGCTACTTAATAATTATATGTTGTTGTGTTTTTGTCTGATGCTGACATATGCTTTAAAACCCCTTTACAGTCAATACAATAGAATGGTGATTTGGGAGGGTTTGGTTTGTTCTGTTGTTTCCCCTGTATCTCCAAATTTGGGAATAAGGAGTTAACTGCTTTGAGAAAAAATTCACAATTCTTTTCATTTTTCTTCTGCTCATTAAAAAATCTAGGAGATAAATCCTTAACAGTGACTGTATCAGAGTAGTTATGTATTTACTAAAGTTATGAGTTGGGATGTTTTGAACTGCCAGATTAAAATATTCTCCTGAAAGAAAGTAATAACAAAAGAGTATAAATTACTAAATGAAAAAGTCTCTTCTCATCTCCCTTTACTTCAACACATAAATACACTTTCCATAAAATATATTTTTAGAAATCATTTTTATAATTAAAATCTGAAAAAAGACTGACTGTAAGGGTGAAAATGGAGCAATATGCATTGGATACATACATGTGTAGACAGATTGATAGATTGATAGAAATAAAGATATAAATCTAGTGAGCATGTTAGTATTTTTTGTGTCTAAGCATATCATATCATTAACTTTATTTGATGATCTTTTTGCTGCTTTTTTGGACAGGCTTAGAGCAAGAAAAAAACTTTTAAAAAATTTCATAATTACTCTAACTGGGCTCTACAGTTTTTGCTTATTAGGACCATCTCCCTAAATCATGTTTGGTTTGACAATTTTTCTAATTCTATCCAATCTCCTTTGTATTTCAGATGTTCTTTGTTGATGATTGCCTTTTAATTACAGGGGATTATCCTTGAGAAAGAGAGGGTTTGGGGGGAAATGGTACTGCTGATGGGTTAACAACCCAAAATTTTGTCACTAAATGCATCTTGGGATAAGGGGTAATTGGAAGATGTAAGGAGCATCGATTGTACTGTGTACACCTAGCCCTCACCACACATTTCAGGAGGAAGCTGGCATGGAAAGATGTGCTGACATTCCAGGCATGCCAGGGAAATGACTATGACTGAAGATAGCATTGTCATTCTTCCAACACTTCAAATTCAAAAAGCCATTCTCATCTGTTCTCTTTTTGACTAGCTAAGAACAAATTCATTTTCAGATTGATCCTTTTCCCCCATGTATCAAGATTTTTTACTCCACATCTCTACTTGTAATGAATTTGTTAGCTAGTACTTACTGATTTTCTTTTAGTTTATCATGTGTTTTAATGGAGATATATTTGTGTAAATGCCATTTATATATTTCTAAGTTGTGTTTTCTTTCTCTGCAGACCTGCCCTATGGCCTTGTTTCTCTATCAAGGCAACATTCTATAAAATTGTACATTGGGCAAGAGAATGAGTAGACAGAATAGCACAAAATAAAGCAGGCTAAAATGATGATGATAATAATAATGATAGGTTACACTTTTATAACACTCTATAAAGATCTTTCCTCACAGCAATCTTGTAAGTAGTATATACATTCTCATTTTTACAAATAAGGAAATTAAGGCTCAGAAAATTAAAGTGACTTGCCCAAGGTAATAAAATTAGGAAGCAACATCAAACAAACTCAGATCTGCTAATTCCAAATACAACACTCTTTCCAATTTGCTGCCAATGGGGTAAAGATCAAAAAGAAATTCTACCTAAAACAGAGGTTCTTAATGTGGTAGCTGCTAACTTTTTTTTTTAATTTTAGTAACTGTATTTCAGTATAATTGGTTTCATTTGGTATCTAATGTACTTTATTTTTTATACTTAAAACATTATTCTAAGGAGTCCTCAGGCTTCATGAGACTGAACTCAGAGAAGCAGCAAGGTATAGTAGAAAGAGTAGTGGACAAGGCCTATGTCCCATTCTTACCTCTGGCATTTACCAGCTATGTGGCTGTGGACAAACAATTTTGACTTCTCTGAATATTTCTCATCTGTAAAATGTGCATAATAATATCTATATTGCTTGCCTTTTATGAATGTTGCAAGGATAAAATGAAATAATGTACGATAAAAATGCTCAAAAACTTTAAAATTCTACATAAATGTCAAAATTATTGTTGTTATTATTATTTCCTATGCAAATGTTAGAGACTGGCTAATAATAAGCTTTTTCTCTTATTTCATATATAAGAATTCAAGAATTTGGGTAAAATATTTGAAATAAAGTCAACACTTAAGTTATTTGTTTTTTTTATTCTGATCTAGTAGCTAAAACATTTTAGAGGTATCAAATGTTACAGATTAGGGGATAATGTTTAAAATCAGTGATTACTCTTTCAGTAGAGAATTTCAAAATGAAAACAAAGAAAAGAGCCCTATAAAATATACAATAAGTGTGCTGAAGTTCAGTAAGTTTTAAAAAAAAGAATTTAATGTTATCTTATTACCTACTTCATGTATTTTACTGATCTTTTCATGAGTTTTGACACTAAGCAATGACCTCATATGGACAGCATGCCAGGAGAGATTGGACATGCCAATATATTGGCAAGTGAAATCATCAGCACAGGAACTCATAGTAGAGTCATGTTTCTATTAGTTTGCTTCCAAGAGTACCTCAGTCTGAAACACAGTGATTTCCCATGATTTCCCTACCTGGGGACCATTGAGAAATCTTTGGAGAAAACTATCTTGGAACATCATTAACATTGATGTACATCCAGTTTGACTGTGGTGTATTTACAGAGACTTTTATTCTGGCTTTCCCAATGGTGACACTCCATCTCTGATTTCTCATTTGTAGTCTCTAAAATTTCTCCCCACCCCTACCCCCACTTGACTAGCATCTATGAGTTTTATTATTGGAATATATGATAGAGCATATTTGATGGAAGTAAAAAGTTCAGTAATTTGTATATAAGCGACTTCATTCTAATCTAAGTATGTGAGCTCACATTTGTATAACACTTTATCTTTAATAAACCACACTATAATACTATAAGGTAATAAATACCAATATTATCCTCATATTAGAAAAAGAAGAGTGAGAGTCAGTAAAGTTATTTCCCCATATTCACTCATATGTTAAGTAGCAGAGCTCAATTCTGAACCCACATCTCCTAACTTTTAAGGACTGCCCTATATACTCAACTGGGCAGCTATGTGACTCAGTGGATAGATTGCTAGGCCTCAAGTCAGGACGACTCATCTTTCTGAGTTCAAATCCAGCCTCCGACACTTACTAGCTGTGTAACTCTGGACAAGTCGCTTAACCATGTTTGCTTCTGTTTGTCATCTATAAAATGAGCTGGAGAAGGAAATGACAAACCACTCCAGTATCTTTGTCAAGAAAACCCCTAATGGAGTCACAAAGAGTCAGACATGACTGAACAACAACAACATACACAACACTGTATCATCTTGGAAATTTTAGAGTACACAGTTAGGTTCATTGAAAAAATAAGCCAAAATCAAAAGAACTAAAGGTGTTTCTTGATAATTTTTTACAGCGACTTTTGCAGCATTTTCCTTTATTACATCAATAGCAGTCATGAGGAAAATGACATTATTTTCTTCAACTTGAAATATTAGGGACTCTTAGTGACACTTGTCACTTTCTATGACAGTAATTCTCCAAGCTATTCACAGCTGAGCAAGAGCTCTTTCAGAATTCTTAAGGTAAAACTAAACTGAATTATCACAAAGAATCCAACTTTCTGATTGGACCTAGCAATTTATATACAGTGAAGCTTAGAGTATAGCTATCCCATAATGCTCTCTTTCTAATGTTTGGCCCAACACTTCCTAAAGCCACAGTGACACTAACCTACTTGGTGAAAGGTGTCTTTATTTATATGATTTTGAGAATCCATTCAATTATTTCACAATAATTGAGGGAGTTCTACTTTTTATGGCAAACTTTTAGGCCTGCCTTTTTCTTCCACCACTGTTTCTGAGCTGGGAACTAAGCCTGAGTCTAGCTCTCACCCATATTCCAGATTTCTGAATTGCATGATGATGACCCAACTGGAATTATGCTATATATAGTACAACATAATCTGGCTAATTCAGGGAACAATTTCTATGAATAGAGCATAACTGTTCATGTGAGCACCCAGGAAGGCTTCTAATAATATATCTTAGCTTTAAAACTCTTTTGGGTTACAAGTTTTACTGTACCTGTTTTATCCACCATAGTGAATATTACACAAGGATTACAAATATTAAGGTCATCACCATTCAGAAACTCCTTTTCACAACAGTGCTAGGCCTGTATGTTCAAGCTGAAAATATTATAATTTGAGTCCTTTAACATTCCAAAACCTAAATGAAAATGAGGGGTGAGCATCCTAGGAACTTGTGAAATAACATTGCTGTATTTATTATATTCCTTGCTTCCTGCTCCTTTCTTTTAATACATCTTCATTGAAGTAATGTCTTTCTCATAATTCTTATTTGCTTTCTGTCAATCCAGTAGCATCCCCTTCCTGGATTTGACCTGCCCTCCCTCTCATTGTTCCACTCATGAAAGGAGATAAGGGTTTTAACAAATAGATTCTTTAATGGCATGTGTTACAAACCTCTGGAAAGGATGCAACAAGTGATCAGAGGGAAAAAAATAAGTAAAATGGTTCCTGGTGCTGCTGCATTTCTTTGTCTCTAGAATATTTTTTCAATTTCTGATTTTTAGACTGTTCATCAGAGTAGCATCTATGCCAACATAGTACACCACATCAGACTGAGAATAGCTTGAAAATCCATTTTGGTTTCTGATCAACTGTAAATATCTCTCTTGAAAATGAATACCTTTTAGAAGTCACAATTTTTAAAATACCACCAGATTCTAATATATAAATTCTCAAATGAGTGTATTACTGCAGTGAGTAAATGTTACAGCATTTTCAGTGGTTTAGTTTAAGACAAACTTGTTTAGTTAAAAAAAATCTGTCTGAAGTTAAACTTACACAATTTCCAATATATGTGACTTTGCAAATCATTTCATTTTCTTGTTCTAGTCAGGGACATAGCCTGTCCCAGAAATAATGAATTCATTCATTTACTAATTCAACAACTTTCTCCAATTCATTTCCCAAGTATAATGAATTTATTCAAATAATCCATTCATTAATTTATTTAGTGCAATAAATGCTCAGTGTTTAAAAAATAATGATAAAAGTAGCCCAGGAACCATCTATTTCCTGATAACGCCAAACGGGTCCTTATCTTCTCCCCGAATCTTTGTTGTTATTGTCATCATCGTGGTGGTGGTTATGTGTTTTGCTGCATGGCGAGTACATCCATTAATTGATCCATATGTACATTCATTTATCATTGGTGTTTAACACTGTGTCTTTGTAACTGTTTGCGCTGCTAGCTGCTACACTGAAGCAACCTTGCTGTTCTCAAGGCAGTCCACCCTTGATGATTTAGATGGACGAGAAACTATTCCTAAAACAAGTGAGCGGGCCCGACCTAGGCTTCGTAAAATGTACAGCTTGGATATGTCCTCTTCATCAGCTGACAGTGGCAGTTTAGCATCAAGGTGCTTAACTTGTGCATGCTTCCTTGAGTCGTTTTACAACCCTCCTCCTCCTCCTCCTCATCTTCCTTTGTTTAGGTCTTTGCTCTCATGTGTGGTTGTTTTGTTTTGTTTTGTTTTAAATGGCATGTCTAACAAAAGCATAGGTACCATCTTTTCTGGGGCTAACATTAGTTCTCAAGATCATAATTTGTGAAAAGAATTATTTCTTTGATTTTGTCTGGAATGAGTTTCTTTCAAATCCTTATTTCAAAGATTGTCTTTTATTTCTGACTAATTCAACTTTCCTTCCTCTTAAGAAAGGTTAACTGTGAAAGATACAGTTCATCTTACTGATTTAGAGGCTTGTTTGGGCTACAAAAGGAAGGGGAAAAGCATCAGGAAAGAGGGTGAACATTTTTGTGATTTGCTCATTCAGAGTTAGATAGACATTAAGATACATTCTGGAAAGTTGTCATATTTGGTCAAGTTTTAATGGGTCAGGAATAAACCTGTCTGTATTCATATACTTGAGTAATATAAAAGTCAAAATGTGTTTTATCCTTGTTTTAAAAATAGAACGTTGTAACCTGAGAATAGACTAATTGACTGCAGTTTCCCATGCTCTTCAACTAGGCTACTTGACGCTAACTTATTTGGTGATCCAGTCTTGCTGTTTTCTCCCTAAACGTTCTATAAAGTAACTTAGATTTGCAGTCTTTTTCATGCAAGTTAAAGAAATTGATTACCTTTCAAAATTTAGTAGAAGCTAGAAGCATGAGATGGAATCTAAATACCTAAATTTTAAAATGACCCAAAACAAAAAAGGAAAAATGGCTTTATTAAGCATGGTATTGTCAGCTCCTTGATTTTTGGTTTTTGGTTTTTTTCTCACAAAGGAGATGTGTAGCATGGGAATCATTCCATAACATGTTGGCACTTACCAGGCATTTAATAGTCAAGCTTCAGCCTAACAGAGAAGGATCAAGCCATCATCTATATTGTCATTTTGACATGGGATCTTTAGGTATTCCTTACTTCCTCATAACACAAATCCAAGGACATTACGGATGTAGTCACAGACTACAGGGCCCCTGAAAGTTTGATCAGGTCCTGGATTAACTCCTGTAATCTGAACTTCCCTCAAAGGATAAATCCATTTCCAATCCTTCCTAGGATTTCTAGTCCAGCCTAAGGTAAGTCTATGAGAGATTCCAATTGGCATGTCCTCCTAGGTATGTTGTGGCAGCTAGGTGGTGCAGTAGATAGAGCACTGGGCTTGGAATTAGGGAGAGTCATCTTCATGAGCTCAAATCCAGCCTCAGACACTTACTACCTGTTCACACAGGATAAGTCATTTAACCCTGTTTGCCTCAATTTCCTCATCTGTAAAATGAGCTGGAGAAGAAAATGGCAAACCACTCCAGTATCTCTTATGAGAAAACCCTAAATGGGGTCATGGAGAGTTGAACACAACTGAAAAATGACTTAACAACAAAAACCTAGAGACTTCCCATATCACAGAGACCAGGACCAGAACCTACAAATATGTTGAAATCTTTGGTCTCACCCAAGTCTTTATCATTGTTTTTTAAATTAAGAGACAGGCTAGGGTGAACTCAGAAGGTCCTATGATAGGCCCAGGCTCTAAGTATACAGGTCAGACTACCAGATGCATTCAATGGTCTAATAATTTTCATTTTAGCATTCCTCAAAACAAATTCCCAGGACATTTTTCTCTCCCTTCTTTGCAAGAATAGAGGAAGAAGAGGAACACTGAGAAAGTACATCATTTATTGAAGTATCATAACTTATATTTGTTTTAGTGTATAAATCTTAATTTGTATCTATACCTAGCCTGCCTTGGGCCTGGAAGGAAAGTTCAAGAAAAAGACAAAAGAAAATAATAATAACTACCTTTTATGTAGTGCTTTAATGTTTGCAAAGCACTTTCCAAATATCTCATTTGAACATCACAACTCTGGGTGCAGGTACTTTTATTATCTCCATTTTACAGAGGAAGAAATTGAGGCAGACAGAGGTTAAGTGACTTGCCCACAGTCACAGAGGTAGTAAGTGTCTGAGGCCAGATTGAATTCAGGTCTTCCTGACTCCAGGCTTAGCTCTCTATCCATTCACTGTGCCTCCAGCTCCTTAGGCAGGATATGAAGACATGAACAAAAAGAAATGTAAAGTAGAGATGGGAACTAGAATAGAAGAGAAGTAGAAAAGAGCCAAAGAAAAGGAAGCCTAGGAGCAAACATCTAAAATAGAGTGAATCAGGCAAGGAAAGAAGGAAGGAAATGAATGGTATAGGTCAGGAATGGGGAACCTGCAACCTTAAGGACACATATGGCCATCTAGGTCTTTGGGTGTGGCCTTTTAACTGAGTCCAAGTTTTACAGAACAAATCCTTGTATTAAGGGGATTTGTTCTGTGAAGTTTGGATTCAGTCAAAGGGCCACACATGAGGACCTAGAGGGCCCCATATGGCCTTGAGGCCACAGGTTCCCCACCCCTGGCATAAGTGTTAATGAAGGAGAGGGTAGAGAAGAGAGTCAAACTGAATAGTAAATGGCAAATCAGAAGGAAATGCAGTTTTACAAGGCACAGAAACCAAATTGAGGGATCAGTGCTGTGTTTTAGGAAAGAAATTAACAAGGTAGAATGTGTATAGGAAAGGACAGCCAATGTGGTATAGGAACTAAAATCAGGTTATACAAGAGAAAACAGTGAACACATGGCAGCTAGCTTCAAGTACTTGAAAGACCTTCATAGAGAAGAGAGATTGGGCTTATTTTGTGTGAACCCTGAGGACAAGACAAGGAGAAATGGTTGGAAATGACAGAAAAGCTGTGACAAATTTCAACTCAAGGAGAAAAATCTTCTCATTATATCGAACTGCGTCCAAAAATTGAATACTTTCCCAGGTGATAAAGTATTTCCTATCACTAGAGATCTTCAAACAGAGTCTGAGTGACTGCTTGGGAGAGATTCTGTTGAAATGGAGATTCAAGACCCTGAGGTCCTTTTCCCACTCTCGTAATTCTATGATTCTATGGATTGGCAGAAATGTAAAACTAGACATCAAATCCAGGTGAAGATATACACACACACACGTATATATCTCACATCATATATGCAATATAATATTATGTAATGTATATAAAGTGAGATATATATGCGTGTACACACACACACACACACGCACACACACACACACACACACACACACACACACACACACACAAAGAAACTGAGAACCAGAATAAAGAAATCAAGGAATTTTAGAGTAGTTTGATGATAAGAAAAGTACACGAACCATCATTTATTTTAGTCTGGATTATGGTATGCTTTCATGATAATTTCCATATGGACCTATGTAGGATCATTATACCAGACACATATCAGAGTATAATTCAGTCAAAAGCTTCTAATTAGGACTGGCAAGGTCTCTGCTTTCTGTAAGCTGTGTATTTTGAAATAAATATATGGATCAATATTACGCCTTGATCTGGAAGTCAGTAATCCTTTCTATGCATCATAGGATACTTCAAATGCTTCATTAACAAAATGATGCTCATTTTGCATGAACTACATTCACTTATTAACTTTTGCATTTGGGAGACAAAACTGCTGTGTGCGTTTTCTACCATACAGGGCTTACCAGGATATAATGAAGGATTAAAATAAATAGGGTAATACATATTTAGGAAAGTACCTTGCAATTTTTAAAGGGCATTGTAGTATCTTCTCTTCAAATCAATAGAATTTTGTGAGCAATCACCATGTTAATCCAAAGTATTTTATGCACCCTCTCTTCTTCCTAACAGTGAGCCCACCCAGTGTACCCTGCTATATTCTCGCCAGGGGACAACTGAAACTATTGAGGAAGTAGAAGCAGAGCAAGAAGAAGAAGTGGTGGGCCCCCTGCCTGAGCTAAAAGATGAAGAAGATGATGAGTACGATGAGGACTCAGTAGAGGTGGATCTCACCTCAGATGCTGAGTTGCCGCAGTATTCCACTATGGATACCGCGGATACAATGGATACTGTGGATGGTGATGTAGAGGCCCCACCTTCCTACAGCAAAGCAGTGAGCTTTGAGCGCCTCTCCTTTGGCTCCCACGATGACTCTGATGACAAGAACCATATGGTTGTGAGTCCAGATGACAGCCGGACAGATAAGTCGGAGATAAGCATTCCGCTCCCTTTGACACATGAGCTGACAGCCAGTGAGCTGCTTTTAAACAAGTAAGAGCTCAGAAAACATATAAAACACCATTTTTAAGACTTTCCAACCAGTTCACTCTCTAACTTGGCTTCCTCACCACCACCACAGGGGAAATCCTAAAAATTAGATATAGGAACAATTTCCTGAGGCCTGCTTCTCTGGATAGAGTATGGGAAATGCCAGCGCTACGATTTTGCCTTCCAGAGTATTTTTACTTGAAAAATATTCAGTTTCTCCTGGCCATTCATGCAGCAGTTATTCAAGAAATATGCCATAATAAAAATAATTGGTATCTGTCCAAGTCAGCTTTATTTTGAGCAGGTTGCCTCATAGGACTTAGAGTACTTTGTTAAAAGACCGTTGTAATATAACATGATCTTGGACTAGTACTCAAAACAAGGTGATTTTGGATTGAGTGTGAAATGGTTTCTACTCAAGTCTTGATATCTGAAAGAAAAGTGAGCAACTCAGTCTATCTTCTATCATTCGGACAAAACAGCCAGATGATTAATTGAGTTTTGGGAGATTTTTGTTTGTTTTGGGTTTTTTTTGGTTTTGTTTACTTTTCCTCTGAATGCATTGTATTATGTAGATACAACCTTAGAATTCCACTCATTCACTCCAATAAGAGACTTTGGAAGTCTATGCCTAATTTTTTTTCTTAAGTATGATTATAAGATAAAGGATAAAATTCTCTTCAGAATTATTATTCTATCATCCTGAAGAAAAACATCTTGGGAAAACTTGACTTTTATGCTGATTTCAGATGACTTTTCTTAGCCTTGTTGAATGTGAGATAGGTAGGAAAAATATAACTCATAAAGTTCCTGAATTTCTCCTACCACAGCCCTATAAATTATTCTAATTAGGAACACCAGATTATGTTCTCACAATTATAGGGATAGATTTTTCCCCCAGAATTCATGATTTTATTTATTTGCCAATTTTATTTCCTTCATTTCCTAACTCTTTCTACTAATGTGAATCAGAAACTGTTCTGCAATTTGTGGTCTTAGGGCAATAATTGATTTGTCTGAGGTCACACAGACAGTATGTGTCAGAGACAATCTTTAAACCCTAGTCTTCTTGACTCTTAAGATTTCCTCTCAGTCCAATAAGACACACTGCCAAATGCATCTTTTCAACTGGATCTCAATCAACAAACACTAATCAATACCTACTATCACTCAGACACTGTATAGGCATTGGGGAGACAAAAAAAATAAGGCAATCCTTTCCTTCAAGAAGTTAACATTCTACTGGGGGAGATACACACAAGTAAGTACAGAATATAAACAAAACAAATTAAAAGTAATAGGGTGGAGCAGAACCAAGACCATAGAGAATGAGGAAAAGTACATTGAAGAAGGTAGTAGATGAGCTGAGTGTTGGAAGAAAGAAGGAAGAGAGGGAAAGAAAAAAGAAAATAAGAAAAAAAAGAATTAGTTCAGAATAAACAAGCAAAATGAAATTGAATCTTTTGTGAATTCATTATTTTGACCTTACTGCTTTCACAGATTTGTTGAAATATTGACTTCCAAGAGGATTTATAGCTAGCCACCCAGCACAAATTATAAACATGTGAGAGAAGATAAACATTTTAACATAAAAATCATTTTTTCTATAATTTTGGGGGTTGTTTCCTTTACAGGATGTTTCATGATGAAGAGTTAGAAGAGTCAGAAAAATTTTACGTTGACCAACCTCGATTCTTGCTCCTGTTTTATGCTCTCTACAACACTTTAGTGGCGCGCTCAGAAATGGTGTGTTATTTTGTGATTATCCTCAATCACATGATCTCGGCTTCCATGATTACCCTTGTACTTCCTATCCTTATCTTCCTCTGGGCCATGCTGTCAGTCCCTAGGCCCAGTAGGCGTTTCTGGATGACAGCCATTGTCTATACAGAGGTATGTAAATTCATCACGTGGTACCCATATACTACTTACAGCTCAATTTTGTTTTATGTGTTAGTAAGTTCCTGAAAAGTTGTGTGTAAAACAAGTATGTGTGCAGATGTTCTTCAGGATACAGAACAGATGTGTTACAATAAAACTAAGAAAAAAAAAACAAAATTCCAAACATCCATAGACATTCATAGATCACCAGGGCTGTAAAGGACTTTAGACATCATCTGGTCTAACTCTCTAATTTTATACCTGAGAAAATTTGGACCTAGGAAAGTTAAGTGATCTAGTCAAGATCTCATAATTCACAAGTAACAACACTGGTACTACAACTTCAAACTCATGATTCTTAATCCAGTGATCTTTCTACTATATTTTTCTGGCTTCCAGTTAAAAAATCTGAGGTAGTAGGATTTTCCCTGGAGACCCTAATTCAGTGTTTAATCCTGGCCCCACAATAGGCCTTGTGAGCTGACTAGTCTGACTTAAAAAATATATATATGTCAGTGCTCCCTGGGAACCAACTTGAAATTCTTTTTCCAACAGACTCTAGACAAGTGGTTCTCAAAGGGTGGTCCAAGGACCCCTGGTAGTCACCAAGACCCTTTGAGGGGATCTGCAAAACCAAATCTATTTTCATAATCATTGTTTTCATTTCTAATATGATAAGTATTAAAATATATAACACATATAAGCAAAAGTTCTTTGGAGGGTCCTCAATAATTTCTAAAAGTATAAAGGGGTCTTGAAACCAAGAAGTTTGAGAACCACTGTTCTAGACTGATCAACGGGGTGAAACCTAAGGATATTAAGCTGAGCTTGTTTTCCTGCCTCAGCACCAAGAAAAGTAGTTTCACCCAAAGAACTAATCAATTAGGGACTAAACTTGTTGCCTGAAGATTAAGATTTTTTTCAAACCTAAATTTCAGAAAACACAGATTGAGTTACTTCTCTAATTCATCAGTTCTATGATTAGAAATTCTACTATTCACATTTTACTACAGTGAAAATACCCATACTGGAAATCAGTTCATATTTTGTTAGCATGATGGACATGCAAATGCACTTGGAGAGAAGAAATCTAAGTTCAAGTCCCAGATTTGACATTTGCTAACTATAAGTCAGGGGCAGGTGACTTCACCTCTGGGAGCTATATAAAGGGAAGCCCTAAACACAGTTCCATCCATTATACAGAAAGCAAAGAGATATGCTTTTTACCAAAGTAAAACAGACCAAATCTTTCAGGCCTGATCAAATTTAACAGATACTCAAAGTCTCAGATTCCCGTGAAAACTAAGTGAAAAGGGATAGAATGAAGATACTATGACATTTGCAATTTCTTTTAATCCTTTTGTCTGATTTTCACTGAATCCTTCCTGATTCCTTTAGGTTCTGAATAGGCGGACCAATACTAATTTTTATGGTGGGCATAGGAATAAAAAAAAAGAAAAAAAGGGGTCTTGAAACCAAAAGGTTTAAAGTTCATTAATGGTCTTTATTTGCTACTTAAATGATAATTTTTATGCCCAAGATAGAACTAGAGCTTTTACATGTGCTATCCCTCATGCTTGAAAGACTCTTCCAACATTTCCCTATATGGAGATCCCTCCAGCACCTCAAGTGCTACCTCCTTATTGTATTACAGTTATTGTATTATAGTTGTTTTTGTAAATACCTCTTCCCCTTATTAAAGCTCCTTGCATGTTTAGACTGTATCATTCAATTCCGTCTTTGTGACCCCAGGATCTAGTATCGTACCTTGTACATAGCTGCTCTTTCATCAATATTTGCTGAATTGATCTGAACTGGTGCTTGAGAAAGTTTTTGTTTTGTTTTGATTTGTTTTATTTTTCAGTAATTCAACATCAAAGTTAAAACAATTTTCTTAACATTGTTCAATTGAAGGTAATGAGCTGTCCCATATATTTGAGATTTGAGGAGTTCTAGGGGTGGAGAACCTGTGACCTTGAGGCCATATGGGGCCCTCTAGGTCCTCAAATCTAGGTCCTTAGCCCTTTGACTGAATCTAAACTTCACAGAACAAATCCTTTTATTAAGGGGGTTTGTTCTTTGAACTTTAGATTCAGTCAAAGGGCCACACTTAAGAACCTAGAGGGCCACATGTGGCCTCAAGGCTGCAGGTTCCCCACCCCTGAAATACCTAAGGCTAAATGAAAAGGAGTGTTAGTCATCCACAGGCAAGATGGATAAGTTCAATTTTCAGCTTGTCCCAAAGCTAATTTTAAATTAATTTCAGCTTTCTCTTCCTCTACATCTTTTATAACTGGAGAGTCAAAGCAGAAAAATCAATTTGCTTTTGTTTCATACATTTTTGAGTTGGTAAAGGTAGCTTGAGGAAGGAGAACATAGCAAAAGTGAAGCTTTAGCAAACTATAAGCCCCTGAATCTGCACACAAGTGATAGTAAATGATCTGAAATAGGAGATACAATAAAACCACAAAAATAAATGTCCCTAGCCTCTCAAAACTAGATAATTACTGCTATGGAACATTCAATCGTTGTGGCATTGTGGCAATGCCAGTTCAAGCTGTATAAATGTATCTGAGGAAGAAAGGAAGGAAGAAAGAAAGAAAGAAAGAAAGAAAGAAAGAAAGAAAGAAAGAAAGAAAAGGAAGGAAGGAAGGAAGGAAGGAAGGAAGGAAGGAAGGAAGGAAGGAAGGAAGGAAGGAAGAAAAAAGAAAAGAAAGAAGGAAAGCAGAAAACAGAGATAAAAATGAATAATTGAAAGTGGCAGACATAGTATGATTCTGGGACCAACCTACCATATTCATCCATTAGGGAACCATTTGTTTGAATAAAACGTTATTCTTGCTGTAAAATTGATTTAGGGGCAGGGGAAGAGACTTACGATTTCATCTGGTTTACAGAGCTGTTGGCATGAAAACTCTGCACTGATTCACATTAATAACTCCTTTATAACTTACAATCTTAAGAAACTGGAGGTATTGAGAGATTAGGCGAATTCCTCAATGTCACAAAGCTGTTGTGTGTAAGAGGCAAAACTTGAATCTAGGTCTTCCTGAAGCCAAGGCTAGCCTGATAGCCACTATGCCACACTTCCCTTAAATGAATAGTAAAAATGCTAATGTTTTTATCTCATACCGTACTATTAACTACTACAATCAAAACTATAAGAGAATCATTTCCATTGTAATTATTATTCTGCCATATAACCAATGAAATTTCAAGAATATACCTTTCACTTGTATTTTTATCATTTCCACATAGGTGGCCATTGTTATCAAATATTTCTTCCAATTTGGTTTCTTTCCCTGGAACAAGAATCTGGATTTCTACAAAGACAAGCCATACCATCCGCCAAACATCATTGGAGTGGAGAAAAAAGAGGGTTATGTGCTTTATGATCTTATTCAGCTCCTAGCTCTTTTCTTCCACCGATCAATTTTAAAGGTATGACAAGCAACCAATCAACAAATCCTTCCTGAAGGATGGGTATATTCCCGTTATTGCCAGATGGAGGAAATAGGAGAAGGATAAAAAACAGAGTGTCTGCCCCTGGGAAGTTTACAAGGAGAAAGAATAAGTACAAAATTGAAGAAAATTAGAGAATACAAGGCAGTATATAATCAAGAGTTTGATTGTGAGAAATAGAATTATCAATGCAAATGAAATTCACAGAAAGGATAGCTTATTGTGGGCTGGAGAAATCCAAGAAAGTTTCATGGAAGAGGTGTAACTTAAGCTGAGTAATGGAAAATGAGTGAGGCTTCCATAAGCAAAGACAAGTGGAAAGGGGACTGATTGCAGGAAAACAGCATGGGCAAAGGGCAATGGAAACAAGAATGAGCATGAAATGTAGGGACTCTACACTTGGGCATGTTCTAAATTATATTATATTCATTTGTATATATCTCATTTTTTGAAATGTTTTTGGAATATGGAGTACAGGAAGGAGACTTCCTTGCATGGAACAAGGGAGTTGTGTTGGAAAGCAGTGGAAGATGTGTGGGACGTGGTGAGATTATAATGGACTTTAATTGACAAGGAGAAATTTTTAAATTAGGTGCTGTCGACAATGGAGAGCCATCCCAGGTTCTTTAGCAGGAAAACAATAGGATGAAAGCAGCACTCTGGGAAAATTAATCTAGCAGGCAATATGGCATGTAGTTAGAGGGTTGCCTTAGAGTCAAGAATATCTTGGTTCAAGACCCTTCTGATACATTCTGGCTGTGTGACCCTAGAAAAGTTGCTTCACTCCTCAGTGTTCAAGGAAACTCTCTAAGACTATAGATTTCAGAAGTTTCCAATCTGAATTAGTCAATGGTGTTTTCTAAGCAGGAGTTCCCTATACTGATGAAATCACAGGTCTAGATTCCACTCGTATGAAACTCTTTTGCCATTTCTTATGCTGTAATAATATTCTGTTACATTTATACACTACGATTTGTTCAACCATTCCCTAGTTGTCTAAGAGGTAATCTAAGGTACAACCCACCCACCCCAACCCCTTAGATTCTAATTATTTCCCTTTCTCTCTCCACTTTTTTTCATACCCTCTTCAGAATCAGGAAATTGCTTTGCTTGTGACTTCTTTCCCTAGTATTATTCTACCTCTTAACCCCTCTTTCCCCAATTTCCATTTGTTTCTCTGAAGAGTTTGATATATTTCTATACCAAACTGTGTGTATGTTCAACCCTCCTGTCTGTTTAAGATAAGAAGATACATTTGTTGCCCACTCTCCCTACCTCTTTCTTCCTCCATGTTTGAATATTCTTCTCACATACCTCCATTATGAGAAATTGCAAGTTGCACACCTTTTTCTTTCTTTCTTTATTATTATGTCCCTCCTTTCAATTTCTCTTTTCTTTCCTTGCTTCAAAACCTCAGAATGAAGCCAATCCATCTCTTTTGTTTTTTTCTCATGTAATTTTTGCAAATTCCATGAAAGACATTAGGACACTCATTTCTTCTTCCCTTATTAGAATATTAGCACCACATCATCTTGCAGCTCTCTCCAACTGCTCAGATAAATTTACTTTTCTTAGCTTCTCTGGACTCTTGAGTTTATATTTTAAAGTTCCTACTCAGTTCTGATCTCTTCATCATAAATACTTGAAAACTTTATTAATGATCCTTTTCCCCCTATAGGATTATACTCAGTTTTGCAGATTACATTATTCTTGATCATAAATTTATCTTTTTTGTCTTTTCAAATATTGTGTTCCAGCATCTATTCTCATTTATGATAAAATTTTCCAGTTTTTATCTGATTCTGTGATTTCTTTGCACTTGAATTACTTCTTTCTGGATACTTGTAGTATTTTTTTAAGTAAAAGTTCTGGATTTGGGCTGTGGCATTGCTTTCGGAATTCCTTTAAGGAAGTGACCAATGGATTCTTTTCTATCTTTGCCTTCTGGTTTTGGTAGATCTGGACACTTTTCATGTATGATTTCTTGAAAAATAGTGTTCAGGCCTTTTTATTTTAATCATGTTTTTCAGGGTGATTCTTAAATTATCTCTCCTTGACTTGTTTTCAAGGTCATTTGTTTTGGATATCAGTTTATGTTTTCTTCATTTTTTTCAATCTCTTGATTTTCTTTTAATGTGTCTTACTGTCTCATGGAGTCACTGATATCTATTTTGTCTCTTTTGCTGTTCAGGGGTTCCATTTCTTGTGTAAGGTTTATCATATCTCTTCTAGGCCACTTATTCTCCTTCCAATTCTTTCCTCAAGAATTTACTCAATTTTTAATCTTTTACTTCATTTCTTGTATGTATTTATTTGTAAATGTAAAAATTCATCTTTCTCTTTTGATTCTTTGGTGGCAGTTCCTACAGAGATAGCTTTACAGTAATTGTTGCTACTGGTGAATGTCTCTGAATTACTCAACTGTCCAGATTCACTTTCTGAATTGAGGCTTTATGCCATGGTACATTTTGCCTTTACTGAGCTTTAGGGTAGGGTAGTCTCTTCTGTTTGGCTTCACCCTGCGATTCTTTGCTCATTTTCTACCTTCTGGGTTTAGGCTTCTAAGGATCTTTGAGGTTAAGAGTGCTAGATCTTTATGGTTCTCTCATGCATCTCAGGACAGAGTGTTAGGGACGTCAGAGCTCCTGAGCCTGGGCTGTCTGTCCTGGTCACTGTCTGTTGGCCCTCCATCATGCTTCCACCATCCACACTCCAGAGCCTTGATTACTGTGGGGCTTTCTCAGATGAGCATTCTGCCCTTGTGGCTTCTGGACACAGAGTCTTGTGGTCTACATGTTTCTCATCTCTGGTCATGTAGGTTTTCACCTGGCTAGAGCAGTTCCCTTTGACTCCAAGCTTCTGATTGATTTTTTGTGCATTTCTTGGATGGAAGATGTCATTTTTCATTGAATTACTTGATTGTTTTTGGTCAAGTATGAACTTCAGGCCTTTGATGGAGTAGATGTAAAGAAACTGAGCAGCCGGCTTCCCTTTCAGGTGGACATCTTGGCTAGAAATCCCCAGTAATGTTGTATGCAACCAGTTTCCATGTTATTTTCTATTTTTGGAGTGGTTTATTAATAAATATATAATAAATATATTATTATCCTGTTTACCAATTTGTAGGCACAAAAGTCTCTTAAAATATATGTATATCTTGCATAAATATGCATATTTATGTTTTAAATCTGTAGAATTGAATAATGAACTTGATTCTATCTAAAAATGTTAAGTTTCCTCCTCAAAAAGGAATTTAATGACCACATTTGGCCACGAAGGAAAAAAAAACTTCATCTTTTCACTTCTTTGAAAAGGTTGGGGACTATGCATATATTGGCAGAACATTGATGTATTGGTTAGATAGGTTTATTTTACCTTTATTCTTTGCTATAATTTATTGTTCAGTCATTTTTCAGTCATGTCCAACTCCTCGTGGCACCATTTAGGATTTTCTTGGCAAAGATACTGTGGTGTTTGGCATTTACTTCTCTAATTCATTTTACAGATGAAGAACTGAGGTAAATAGGGTTTAGTGACTTGCCCAGGATCACACATCTAGGAAGTGTTTCAGGCCAGATTTGGATTCAGGAAGATGAGTCTTCTTGACTTCAGGCCCTTCACTTTATCCACTGCATTACCTAGCTGAGCATTCTTTGTTATATATTGCCCCTTTCAAGTTACCAATGATGGCCTTTTCCTATCCCTGATCCTTCTTGACCAATCTGCAGCATTTGACACTGATGATAGCCTTTCTTCCTGTATACTCCCTCCTTTCTAGGTTTTCATGATATTATTCTCTGGTCAGTTCTTCCTGTCTAACTGTCAGTCATCCATACTGAAAACCTCAGTGTCATCCTTAACTCCTCACTGTCATTCACCCCATCTAGCAAGTCCATTGCCAAATCTTGTCTTTTGACTTTCACATCTGTCATATACATCACCTGCTTTCCACTCACACAGATACCAACCCAGTTGAGACCGTCATCTCCTCTCACCTGAATTGTTACAATAGTCTGCTGACTGATCCCTCTGCCTTAAGTCTCTCCTCATCCTCCACTTAGTTGCAAGGTAGTTTTTTTTTTTCTAAAATATAGGTCTGACCATGTTCCACCTCCCTTCTTAGTGAGCTCCAGAGGCTCCCTGTTACCTCCAGTATAAAATATAAAGTCCTATGTTTGGCATTAAAAGTTCTTTATATACAGTTACTCACTACTTTTCCAGCCTTGTTATATTTTATTCCCCTCTATATACTCTATGAGCCAACTACACTGGCCCACTTGAAGTTCCTTGGATTCAACATTCCATCTACCATCTCTATGCCTTTGCATGAAATGTCCCCCTTACCTGAAATGTTCTTCCTCCTCACTTCTGCCTCTTAGTTTCCCTGGCTTCCTTCAAAACTCAGTTTAAATCCCATCGTTTATAGGAGACATTCCCTGAGTGTCCTTCCTCCAGCACTAATATCCTCCACTCTCAGATTGCCTTCTGTTTCTGTTTCATATACCCTGTTTGAACCTAAGTATTTGCATTTTGACTTCTTCATTAGAATATAAGCTTCTTGAGGGCAGGAACTGTTTTTTTTTTCCTTTCTTTATATCCCTAGCACTTGGAATAGTGCCTGATACATAGTAAGAACCTAATAAATGCTTGTTGACTCTTTCAACTGATTATAAGGGAAGGCTTTCTGGATAGGAGGGGGGAAGGGATATATTCATAAATTAAATTGAATTAATAACAAAAGCTAATATATAAATAAAGAGAACATGTTTTCAAGACTAGATCTTAAATATCTAAGACTAGATTTAAAACTAGATCTTGTTTATCCCCATTAATCTAACTAGTTTTTCTTTTTATTCCTCTACTCATCACTTTCCTGTTCTCTCTTACTCTTAGGGACATTGTGAAGTGCTGGATATAATGCCATCTAATCCAAACTGCTAATTCCACTACTTGGGAAAAGAGGCCATAAGATTGAATACAAGTGTGCTGCAGATCTCTCCATACATTCTTTTATTATTCCCCCTCCTAAACAGATTACTCCACTCACAGGCCCTTCTGCCCCATCCCCACCATCCTCCAAACAGAAAACAATCCCCAAGCTCTGTTCCCTCCAGCCTGGAAGGCTCTTTCCTTCTCCTCTGAAGAAATCCAGTGTGAAGTTCTTCATTTGATATTACAAGGCCCAGGGAATAATGTTGTTTGTTTTCATTTGTGCTGTTTTTTTAATCAGTTGGGCTTATTGACTATCCCTCCTGCTACCGATATGACTTGTTGCTTCCTGTGCTTTTTCAGTGTCATGGTTTATGGGATGAAGATGATACTGTTGACACTGGGACCAATAAGGATGATTCTGATGATGAACTCTCACTTAACACGGGAAGAAGAGATTCCTCTGACTCATTGAAATCTATCAATCTCGCAGCATCAGTGGAATCAGTTCATGTCCACTTCCCAGAGCACCAGGCAGCCGTCAGACGAAAGAGTTCTAGCACCACCTCACACCTATCCCACAGATCTAGCTCCTCCTCAAATAGGTCCAAGAGAGGTATATGTTCCACTTATTGGTAACATAAGGCATACTCATAATGAGTTTTCTTAAAGGTACAGTATGTTATAATTGCAACTTGTGTTGGAATTTTACTTGGATTTGAAGACTAAAACCTTGTAATAACCAAATTTTAGATTATTTCTGGAAATGAGTTTTGGATTTCTTACCAGCAGTGAACAGTACATAGTGGACAGCATAACTAGTGGACCTCAGCATAGTAATGGAAAATGAGTATATTTAGTCTTTTGTACTTTCAACTGAAGAACTCAAAATGATTTACAAGTCAACTCATTAATCCTTAGAAGAACCATTAGAAATGTGGAGTTAAGAAAGCTTGCTTTGTTTATAGTTTTTTACTTTGATGAGAATAGAGAGTGGGCCTTGGAATTAGGAAGAACCCAAGTCTCTCATCTTCAAAGGCAAATTGCTTAATTTCTCCTGGACATGGACAATTTTCTAAGACTCTCTTACTCACAGATAAGTTGCTTATCTCTATTGGTAGATGAGACTTTCTACAATTCATGGTCCTCTCCACCAATGAAATCAAAAATGTAGACAAAAAAAAAGAAGTCATCAAGCATTTATTGAGTGCCTATTATGTGCTAACAGGCGCTTAATAAATACTTAATACAGGCACTGTGCTAAATCTGGGGATAAAAAGAAAAGCAAAAAAACCCAGTTCTTGCTCTCAAGGACCTCACAGTCTAATAGAGGAGACGATTTATGTACAAGCAAGACAGAGATAGGATAAATTGGAGATAATATCAGAGGGAAGGCACTACTGGCATTAAGGTTAATGAGGAAAGGTTTCTTGCAGAGAGTAGGATTTTTGCTAAGACTTGAAGGAACCCAGGAGGCAGAGATGAAAAGGAAAAGAATTCCAGACCTAGGAAATAGCCAGTGAAAATATCTGAAGTTGGAAGGTGGATTGTTGTGTGTGAGGAATGGCAAGGAGGTCAGTGTTACTGGATCATAGTGTATGTGGAAGGAGTAAAGTTTTAGACAACTGGAAAGGGAGGATAGGGCTCAGTTGTTTAGACAGTTGGAAAACAGCAGTTGGCAGGGGAGGAGAGAGATTAGTGAGAGAGTGGGGAATGTAGAAGGGGCAATCTAATGGAGAAGACAGGATGGAATGGGATCACTTGTGCATTTAGAGCAGTTTGCCTTCACAAGGAGGAAATCCACTTCTTCATGTGAGGCAGGCATACAATGGTGGAAGGCAACTGAGAGATAAGGGTTGAAGAGGAGAGGAAAAGAGGAAGCTCTTGGCAAAGAGCTTCATTTTTTTTCCATTAAAATGAGGTAAGGTTCTCAACTTAAAAGATGGGGAAATGGGGAACCATGGAATATTTGAGAAGGGATAAAAAAATGGAAAAGCTGCTTTGGTGAGTGAGATAGTGAATCCCCTTTTTTGTTGTTTGGGGGCTGCTAGGTGGCACAGTGAATAAAATGCCAGGCCTAAAGTCAGGAAGACTTATTTCCTAAGTTCAAATCTGGCCTCAGATACTTACTAGCTGTGTGACCCTGGGCAAGTCACTTAACCCTGTTTGTTTCAGTTTAGACATCTATAAAATGATCTGGGGAAGGAAATGACAGACCACTCCAGTATCTTTGCCAAGAAAACCCCAAATGGGGTCACAGAGGCTTAGACATGACTGAACAATAACAGCAATCATTTTGTGGGGAGCCATGGGATATTTGAAGAGGGATAAAAATGGAAAAGGTGTTTTGGTAAATGAGATAGTGAATCCATTAGGAAGGAATAAAAGGATTACCTTGCTGCACTAAGGGTCCTGTTGATATTATGTAACATAAATTTGTAGTAGACCAAATCATCAGACTTTCATGATTTTTTTTTCCAGCTTCATTCAGCAGCATATGAGTAGGAGCAAAGGCAGCAGATGGTGGGAGTAATCCAAGACCTGAGTATTAATGCAGGGGAAGATCAACAATAGTATAAAGGGTTAAAGGCCTTTTTTTAAAAAAAATGTTTATTTTGATATTTTGAACAATTTGTGGGGAGGGGTTTTCATTTATAAGGATGTTCTCTCTACTAATGAGGATTGCAAACCCTCCTTTCTTATCCTGTGTGATTTTTATAGATTAAGAGCCCTAGGATTTAGGCTGCTAGGTAGAAGAAGGAAGGTATAGTGCATTGGACTTGGAGTCAGAAAGGCATGGATTCAAATCTTGTCTCAGAGACTTACTATTTGTATAATCCTCGGCAAGTCACTTAACATCACTCAGCCACTATTTCCTCAAATGTAAAATGGAGATGATAATAATAACATCTACCTCATAGGGCTGTTAAGATTTTAAGATCTTCCTAACATATTGGATACCTCATTCTTTTCACAGGCACTAATGTCTCTGCAGAGCCATGGCTCTTATTCTCCCTGCGTGATTGGTTCATTATTCATTTAGTTGTAAAGTATGAAGATGAGATTTTGTGGGTCTCAGGTATAGTCTAGAGAAACTGATATCCATCTCACTACTGCAAACTCCATTTTCTCTTTATGGCTACTCATGGTATAGATTTCATTGGTGCTTGAGAAACAAAACATTAACCATGTTAGTCAGTGAAGTTATATAGTCATAGACCAAATTTAACATGTAATTATTTTTGAAAGTAGAGGAGTCACAGATCTTGAATTACTCTATGTTTGGATTACTCTGAAAATAACTTTGAAGGCATCCATGTCTATATACGTTATCCTAAAATACTTTTAACTCAGTCTATACGCTCTTGAATAATACCATACAGCCTTCATGTGACTATGGTGTTCATGTAAACCCTGTTTCTCACACAATGTTTGTATCCCTCTTTATTTCTAGGCAGCACCAGTACTCGGAACAGTAGTCAGAAAGGAAGCAGTGTACTCAGCATTAAGCAAAAGAGTAAAAGGGAATTGTATATGGAAAAGTTCCAAGAACACCTCATCAAAGCAAAAGCATTCACTATAAAGAAGTGAGTAACTGGAAATGTTTAGTTTATTTGTGTCTTATAGGGCTGGAAACCTACAGTCAATTACTTTATACAGATGTTATGTGGGATGAAAGAAAAACTGCTTCTGTTGCCATGAGCGTAGCTCTTTTTGTGAGAGAGTATCATGTGAAAGACACACTGCCTTGCACATAGTAGGTATCTGCTGGATGTTTGCTCAATTGTATTAAGCAGCCCCACATTTACTATAGTATACTTTAAAATGAAATGTTCCTTTAGGCACAGTTAATCTGTGTATTTTATTCCTATAATAATAGCTCACATTTTCATAGGACTTACTGTTTTACAAATTGCTTTCCTCCCAAGTACCCTGTGAGGAAGATAGAACGTGTTATGAACTCCATTTTCCAGATGAAGAAGGTGAGACTCAGGGCAATTAAGGGACTTTCTCACAGTTATCTCAAATAGTTATAAGAATCAAAACCAGAAATCAAATCCAGCATTTTTGACCTCAAAACCAATGGGGTCTACACCACTCTTTGTTCTATACCTTACCCTTCCCCCACAACCCTATATTGGAGTGTAGGCAATAAAACAAACAAATAACTCCAGAGTTTCAGAAATCAATATAAACTAGGCATTGAGATCTAGTAGGTACAACAATTTCTCACAGGCCTTTCCCACTATCCATGCCAGGGCTTTGAGTGCAGCAAGGCAAGGGTATGAGGCAAGAAGCCTAGACTGTGAAACAAGACTAGAAGCGTGGTTTAGTAACAAATAGGCACGGTCAAGTAAAACAAATCCAGATATTTGTCACATTCAAAAAACACGTCTCATTTTGTATAATGAGTATCAACCTTCTCCCAAGAGTTGAGTTTCATGATCATCAGTCAGTCTGTAAGCATATATCAGTGCCTGCTAAGTGCCAGGCATAGTGCTAAGTTCCAGGGATACAAAAAAAAAGGCAAAGGGCAGTCCCTGACCTCAAGGATCTCACAGTCTAATGGAGGAAACAATAAGCAAACAAATATGTGCAAACAAGCTATATACAGGATAAATGGGAAATAATTAACAAAGGGAAGGTTGTTAGAATTAGGATTGGGAAAGGTTTCCTGCAGGAGGAGGGATCTTAGTTGAGACTTGAAGGAAGCCAGGAAGCAGAGATAAGGAAGGAAAGAATTCCAAGCATGGGGATTTCTGTAGCCAGAGAAAATGCCAAGCCAAGAGATAGTGTCTTGTTCAGAGTACAGCAAGGAGGCCAGTATCATTGGAATGAAGAGTATGTGGTGGGAAGTATGGTGTAAGAAGACTAGAAGGGGGGGAGGGGGCAGGGTTAGGTTATGAAGGGCTTTAAACACCGAACACCTTGTACTTGATCCTAATAGGAGCTGCTAGAGTTTATCAAGTAGGGGGATGACAAGGTCAAACTTGTCTAGGGTCATACAGCTAATAAATGTCTGAAATTTTATTTGAATTCAGATCTTCCTAATTTCAGCTCCACAACTGCACCTAACTGCCTACGTGTTCTTCTGCAAAGGAAACAGAAGAACCAGTGTGAGATTCCAGCACCAAAAAAAGACCTTGATTATAGATGTTTTCTTTTGTCTTATCTGGGAAGCATTTATATGCAAAGATCAAACCTCAAGCATGACTATTCTGGGGTTTAGAGATGGGAGTCAATGTAAACTCCTGGTCACAGCAGAAAAATAAAGGGCTAAAAGAGGAATAGCTGCTGACGCTCATAGGATATAATGCCATGGTTCCTCCCATTACAATATTCTTGACATCAATATGAATGTGTTGCTTGCTTTTCAGGACCCTCCAGATATACGTACCCATCCGACAGTTCTTTTATAACCTCATCCACCCAGACTACAGCGCTGTGACTGATGTGTATGTGCTTATGTTTCTTGCTGACACCGTGGACTTCATCATCATTGTGTTTGGCTTTTGGGCCTTTGGGGTAGGTTTTGCTCTTATACTTGTTTAGAGTATCCTTATGGAAAGGGTGTTTTCTTGTCAGGAAAATTTCATTTGGCTGTTGTTTTCATCTATCTTGCCCAGAAACACTCAGCAGCAGCAGATATCACATCTTCACTGTCAGAGGACCAGGTCCCAGAGGCATTTTTGGTAATGGTGCTCATTCAATTTGGAACCATGGTGGTAGACCGAGCATTATATCTCCGGAAGACTGTATTGGGAAAGGTGATTTTCCAGGTCATTCTTGTATTTGGAATACATTTCTGGATGTTCTTCATCTTGCCAGGTGTGACTGAGAGGTAAAAAAATTTAAAAAATTCTTTCCACTCTCCCTATATTGTTTGAGTTCCAAGTCAATATAGGATCTGAAGTGTCTATGATTCTAAATTGAACTGACTTTATTTCAGAACACTTCATCCATAATATACTAGGGTCAGGGACCTCTCTGACTTCAATGCCAAGCTGCCAATCAGTCAAAATTCAGTGACTTAGAATTCTAAACCATGTGTTTGTAACCTGTTGACATTAAAAATTGATTTTCCTTCTCTTTTAGATATTGCTATCAAAATTTTAATTCATTGGTGGCTCAAAGATAAAACATTTATCAATCCTCTTTTAAAATACATGATCAACTCTGTAGAGGTCAATCAAGATGCATTTATTCATGAGTTCCTTCATTCAGTTATTCAGAAACAATTTACTAAGCACCTATTATGTGCAAAATTTGTGCTAGTCATTGTGGGAGACAAAGTTTAGATAACACATTGCCCCTACACTTATGGAGCTAGTACAGTAATCTAGCAGAAAGGGAGTCTACTAGAGGCATCATTAAGTAATGCTGTTTCATTAAATCATTCATTAATCATTAAATAATAAGTTGTTTAAACATCTATCATATGCCAGGCACTGTGCTAGATACTGGAAATACAGGTACAAAGAATGAATCAGTTTATTCTTTCAAGGAAAGGAAGAGACAACAAATAGTACACTTACATATATGTGTATGTACATATGTGTGTATACATGTGTGTATTATGTGTATGTATATCTGTGTACATATATACACTTGTTGCCTTACCCAATAATATTGTATGTGCAGATATAATCTAGAGATAGACTGATTAACTGACTTGGTGTTCCAAAAGTCTTAATGCAATTTTAAGCTACATGCTTGCATATACACATACATGCACACACATGCATACACACATATACATGTATATAAATACATACCAATTCTAATACATATACATATACACCAACTATATGTGTCTATATGATACATACACCAAATATGTGTATATGTAACAAGTATATTTTGTTATTGGTTTATAAATAAGTATATGTACCAAGTATACATCCATACACATATCAAATATTATAAGTGTGTACATACATACATATACACTTACACACATGTAGGCAGCTAGGTGGCTCAGGGAATAGAGTGCTGGGCCTGGAGTCAGGAAGAACTGAATCCAAATCCAACCTCATCCATTCACTAGTTGTGTGACCCTGGGCATGTCATTTAACCCTGTTTGCCTAATCCATTTGAGAAAGAAATGGCTAACTATTCCAGTATCTTTGCCAAGAAAATCCTATAAAAATCAGTCATGAAGAGTTGAACATGACTAAATGACTGAACAACTACAACACACACCCCAATACACACCAAGTATATATGTATGGATAACAAATATATACACACCAAGTATATATACATATATAACAAGTATATATGTGTATAGAGACCAAGTATACACATATTTATATATGTATACATACCAAGTATATATTATACATGTACCAAGTATGTATATGTGTGTGAAACAATTATATTATGCATGTGTGTGCACACACTCGTCATTGTCTTGTCTACTCATTTGACTTCCCCATTCAAGTAGAAAGTTTCAATCTTTGTGTGTGTGTGTGTGTGTGTGTATGTGTGTGCGTGCGTGTGTGTAGCTAACATTCATATAGTGCTTTAAGGTTTGCAAAGTGCTTTACAAATATTATTTCACTAATTCCTTACAACAACACTTGGAGATAGGCACTATTATTATCCCCTTCTTACAGGTGAAGAAACCGAGGCAGATAGAAGTTCAATGGTTCTTCCTGACTCTAGATCTAGTGCTCTGTCCATTGTACCAACTAGCAGCAAGAGAGAGACAGAGACAGAGAAAGAGAGAGAGAGAAGGAGAGAGAACATAGGTATAAAATGAATAACCACAAATACTTCCAAAGTAGTTAACAGTGATTGAGCTGTATCTTAAAAGAAGAGAGGGATTCCATAAGGTACAGGTAAAAAGGGAGTTTAATTCTAGCAGCCAGTGCAAAGATACAGTAATGGGAGATGAAGTGTAGAATATACAGAACAGAAAGAAAGTCATTTTGGCTGAATAAGGCACAGTCACCAATAGATGACAGGTAAGTGGATTATTGAGATGCCGAGCGTTAGGTGAATTCAGAAAAGAAGGATGTTCTTGGTGGGAGAGATCAAGAAAGCCTTCATAGAGGAGATGGCATCTGAATTGAGCTTCTGAGGAATCACTGTGGAATGGAGAGCATTTCAGGCATAGGAAAAAATGGTCAAAAGCAGAGAAAAGACTAGACTACTTACTGTGTATCCCTCAAAACTTTAGAGGCCATGTTTCAGTGGGCACAAAGTCCAGTATGGCTAGAATATAAAGTATGTAGTGACATAATTATAAAAGGTTAGAAATATAGGTTTATACTGTATTGTACCTGGTCTTAAATGTTAGGTAAAGAAATTTAAATCTTCCTGAATTAAATATTATAGATCCTTGAAAGCCAGCTAAATTTTTGAGGATAGGAGTAGCATGAATAAATCTTGCACAGCAGGAAAAAATAAATGTGAGGAAAGGATCAGATTGAGGGCTATTAACTGTAATGTAATACTTAGAAAAAATTTGTGATCACCTTGAATTCATAACCTGACAAACGTCTCTTATAAGAGTAAGTTCACACATTCAACAAATATTTATTGAGTGCCTGCCAGATAAAAAGCATAGTGTTAGGTGCTATGGTTGATACAAAGATAAAGAAGACAAAAACAAGAAATGTATAATCCAGTAAGAACAAACTGCATAAAATTAATGCCTGTGATAGGAATCTTAAATAGGGGAAAAAAAACTCTAAGTTTTCAGTCAGGATTCAGGCTTCCACATTAATTAGGTTTTTCATTATACCTCATGGCATTATAGCTTACTATAGATAGCAAACTCTATAAACTTCAGGATAAGAAGGAAAAAAATTGCTGCTTGAAATATTTATTGCTAGTAGAATTAGGAAAAACAGAACCTCTCAGAGCTTAGCCTCCTCTAAGTACCATGAGCAGCCTTTGCTCTCCCCATTCCATATCCTATGACCAAAGTTTAAATTTTTTTAAAAATAGTTCTTCCTTTCCTGGTAAATTTACTTTTATAGCACTAATATGCACAAACACACATGCAAAAATATTATTTACCAAAAAAAAAAAACTTGGAGGAGGGGAGAAAAACTCTTAAATGAAACACATTAGTCATGGAGGAGAATGACCTAAGATCTTACCTAATCATCATTTCCTGTTTTACTTTTTTGCAGAATTTATTGCTCAGGTTTAAGATTCCACAAAATCCTACATTCATCCAAAGATTGTAAAAACAAAGGATCTCATCATTTTGTTTGAAACCATATTGTAACTTCATATTATTTTTTCCCATTCCTAGTGATTACACTAAATTCCTCATTGAGAGTTAAAGCGTGCATGAACTTGGCAATAACTTTCTCTGGATCCACAGATCTGGAAGACTTCCTAAAAAGGCCTTCTTCAATACTTTAAAAGATCTGTGACTTCTTAATATTGAGCACTGAGGCCAGCAGAGTGTATCTGCTCTTGCATTTTTCTATGTATTTTTCATTCTAGGAAATTCAGCCAGAACCTGGTTGCTCAGCTTTGGTATTTCGTGAAATGTGTTTATTTTGGCCTGTCTGCCTACCAGATTCGCTGTGGCTATCCAACGCGGGTACTGGGAAACTTCCTCACCAAAAGTTACAATTATGTCAACCTCTTCTTATTTCAAGGGTAAGTGTTCTCAATCTTAATCTCAACTTCTTCAGAGAAGAGGTTTTCAGGTAAACAGCCCTATTGGGGGATGTGGGCAGGAGCTCAGTACATAATGATTTTATGATTTTAGAGAAGATATGGAAAATTAGGTATTTATTTTGTTTTATTTTTATACTTAAATTTATCAGTGATCTTATCAGTGTGAGTACTACTTCCACTGGTACAGTTCACAAACCATCTATGCTTGTCCTGTATAATCTGTGGCCATGAAATTCTGTAAATTCTCTATGAAGGATAAATAAGTAACCAATAAAACCTATTGGAGATGTTCTTATCTATGTTGAGTTGAATGTAAGTATATTATCTTAATAAAATCCCCATCTTGTTATTTGCCTTAAGGCCCAGATTCGGAGGAGCAGAATTAGGTATACTTCAAGGGAGTGTAGAAATGTGACTCAATCATCTCTTCTCCTCTTATGTAATACAATTCTTTTGGCATCCACTACTGAGGAGCAGTTAAAATCCTTTCATATTAAATACACTGTGCCTACATATCTCTCTAGCTATAATTTAGATCCTTGGGGAGGCACATTTCCAAAGATATCATTCAATGCTATTTTTTTCACTCCCCAAAGTTACTTCTTCAAAATACTTTTTCTTTAGTTGATGTGTTCTATGGAAAATCTGAAAAATAAGAAATCTATAAGAATGGTATGACCCAAGGCTCTTTTTAAACAGAAACTGATCATTTATCATGAAAGATATGGGATAATGCCAATTTAATGACTAACAAGTCAAGGCAAGAGAAGACACCTTGTTTAAAGCTCATTAATGTCAATTAAGGATCTCCAATCCATATTATTCCCTTCTAGCACTGGGAAGGATCTGGCTCAATGACTGCCAAATGTTGTATGATGAACAATTAGTAGTACATGTGGTTTTTTTTTTAAATAGTTCTTTGCTACAGATCTCTAGTGATCAATATGTTGTAGAATGGCCCCTGTTGAATAGTTGTGTTTCTTATTACCATCCCCAGTCTGGTTCAGGAAACATTTAATCCCTTAACCTTCATTGAGGCTCTCTGGCAAGGTCCCCTTTTATCATCAACAAATGCTTGACTTGCTATATTCAGCTCCTGATGATGCTTCCTGAACACTGAGCAACTTAGTTTAAATACATTTTTTGTCCACATCTCTATTGACTACTCTGTTCTGATTCATCACGTAACAAATTCAACCAATCTGAATAGCATAAATGAACTTATCCATAAACAAGTGAATTGATATCAAATTCTTGGCTAAAGGAGAAATCTTTGGTTATTAAAATGATTTGAAGAAGGTCTATGGAGGTTCTTTCTGACTCCAAAGATATGTAAGTCTGTGGAAGGCTCATGGAAAATGATAACCTCGTACCAAACTTTAATAGGATCTTTAAGACAAAAGAATGATCATTTCCTGAACTTTATACCGCATGAAATCTCATTTGCTTTGGTTTAGGTTATCCTGGAGTAAGGTTTGAAATTCCAAGGAGCTGCTTAAGCTCCTAAATTACAATAAACCATATAGGAGATTTTTAATCTCTATCTCTCTAATGAAATACGACTCTTTGTCAGGTTCCGCCTGGTTCCATTCTTGACTGAATTGAGAGCTGTGATGGACTGGGTGTGGACAGATACCACTCTGAGCCTTTCCAGCTGGATCTGTGTAGAAGACATTTACGCTCACATATTTATTCTGAAGTGCTGGAGGGAGTCTGAAAAAGTAAGAAATCTATAAGGATGGCATGATCCCAGATTCTTCTTAAACAGAAATGGACTGTTTATCATGAAAGATACGGAATACTGCCAATTTAATGGCTAACTTAAGTCAGGGCAAGAGGAGACAACTAGTATTAAAGCTTGTTAATGTCCCATTGGTGTCATTTAAGGGTCTCTAATCCATATGAATTGGGAATTCTAAACTGATTCTGTATTACTTTTGTCAGAAATAGCCTCCAGATGCTTGATGGCTTTGCCAATTCTGTGCTGAATTTTTTAAAGGGCGTAATAGATTCTTATAGGAGGGGAAAATGGTGGAACAGTCTTCAAAATGGTGCATTTGGGAGAGGGAGGGAATGCTGTGCAGGAAAATTAGATCCAACAGCTACTTTATGAGCCTCTTTTACTAATCCACTCTTCGATGTGGGACAATTTTTTAACCTCCTAGATGGTTCGTAGCAACTGTATACATTGATAGAACTACAATAACTATACATATATTGGTATGGTAAATATGGGCAGTTGCTAATTTTTGTGTGTGATGAATATATGATCTCAGTAAAGTAGATAGTTACCATCACAGTCTTCCAGTCCTGTGTGACCTTTGTCCATGCCCTATCATAAATCCTCCGTGATAAGTCCAGCCAATGTACTTGTTATCTTCTAGATTACAGACCAAAAATTAATGAAGGTCTTTTGCTAAATATCTAATTTTCAGTCTGATTTTATTTTTAAAAAGAAAGGTATGGAAATGGAGACTGACCAGTGTCTGCAACAATAATACCAAATATAATAAGCTGTACAATGTCTCTGGGTCTCATCCTGGTGAGAAAAAGCTAAACAGAACTCTAGCCCTACCTCTGACCCTTATTACTATTAGTTTTGTACTCTTTGAGGATAGGGATTGTTTCTGTTTTGTCTTTGCATCCCTAGGACCTGGCATAGCACCTGATACATAATGGTACTTAGTAAATGCTTATTGATTAGTTGATGGCTTATACAGTTATCACAATGGTAGAAATATTAGATTTTCAGTTTCATGATTTTGTAAATCCTTGTGTCACTTATTCTTTTATTTATAACGAATAGGGTAAAAAGAGGGATAGAAAGTGTTATGCCCAATCAACAACTTCTAATTTCTAGGGAAGTAACAAACAAAGGGTTCATTTGAGTCTGACAGATTGTAGGGACTTTAAATCCCTCTTGTGTGTGTATCTACACATGCACACACACACTCACACACACACACACACCTTACTCTTTTAAGGCTATATATCTGTGAATTAGCCCCACTTAAAGTTGGTTACCAATTTGAATTAGGGCAATTTCTTTGAGTTCACAGAATTTTCTTATAATAAAAAAGAGAATTGACCAAATTCTCCCACCATTTTCATTCCTGTGTTTACCAGAAAATGAGTGATTAAATGGTAAATAGGAAAAGAAAAGAAAAATCTACACATGATACTTACATATTAAAATTAAATATAATGAAGGTATTCTATACAGTCAACCTTAGGGTAGGAGATGGGAGGTGGTGAAAATTACCAAGTTAGAATACAGTGCAATTCAGGAGGGAAAAAAGAAAAACACACTAGTAACAACAATGGTATCCTAGATTTTCCCTTTTCACATGGGAAAAGTCCCATCTCTGATGTGTTAAGGGTGCTCTTTTGCTTCTGAGGGCAGTGATCAGTAAGGCTAGCAAGGTACTATCTATTATTCCTACTCCAAATTCAGCTCTTTGGAATCTTGTAGTAATTGATTAAATAACATGATAGGATTAGAATGCCCTTTTTTCCTATTATTACTCAAGGTCCATAATAATGGGACCCAAAAGTCTTTTATTAATGATCCCAGGTGCTATGGAGCTGTTATGGCTTAGGTGTATACAACCATGAATTCACATGTGTGGATTGTTCCTTTTTTAACTGGTCTTATGTGCTGCAAAGCAAAAAGAATAAAAACTCCAAAAGCAATTAAAACCACTTAGGTATATAGGATAATAAAGAATTAGTATAGCCACAATATTTCCAGGGAGTTATTTCTAACACTCAATTTCCTAGCCAACACTTAGAAAATAGCCTTGGACTGTTTTCTCAAGTGTAAGGAGAGAATATTTTCCAGATTACTGCTTACAGTTGTCCCTTGGGATTTTACTTATGAATGTTATGGAAGCAACGAACTTCTCATACTCATGGATGATGATATCATATTAAGGAAATGGGGCTTTGTTTATTAATATAGATGGATATGAATGTGTATGCATATAGACATTCTCTAGCAAGCAATATCAATTCATTTATCTTCTCAAAGGAAGGCTGACACTTAGAAGTTAAAAAAATTCTAAGGCCCTATGTGGCCTCGAAGCTGCAGGTTCCCCACTCCTGGCTGGACGGTCCTAAGAGTGTGGCTATAAATTTATTTCTTTGTAGGTAAAGGAAATTACTGACAATTTCTCATCAGAAATGAAATTCATGCTTATTTGCCCACATGTGTTGTTATTGTTATTGTTGTTGTTTATCCTTCATTTTCAAAGAAGACCAAAGACATCATGGGATGATGTCTTGACTAGCACATGAATTGGATTTAAGTGAGGCAGAGCCATTATGGAACTATGTCAATATAAGGCAGCTAGGTGGTGTAGTCAATACAGCATGAAGCCTGGAACTAGGAAGACCTGATTCAAGACATGATTCAGACATTTTTTTAGCTGTGTGACCGTAGGCATATCACAATCTCTATTTGCCTCACTTTCCTCATCTGTAAAATGGGGATAATAGTAATACCTACCTCCCAGGATTGTTATGAGCATCAAATGAGATAATATTTGTAAAGTAAAGCACTTAGCACAGTGCCTGGCACATAGTAAGTACCATGTAAATGTTAGCCATTATTATATAAGCTCCAGGGTGTGTCTGTGGGGCCTGACAACAGGACAGATAGTCTTAACTGTTTGAATAGTGATTTCTTTGAGATCTATTTGGCTGAAACTTCACTTGCCCTCTGACACATCTCTCCTCTTTTGGGATCTGAAGCTAGTTACTTTTGGTTCCCTATAAATCCCTATGACACCAGTGAGGTCAGTTGCCCTTCTCATGTGCCTTTTTTCTCATCCATCAAGACATTTCAAAACTAGGATCTCTGCAGCCCTCCCTCAAAATCAAATCACGTAATATATGTAAAGCATTTTGTAAGAATAAAAAACTATATGGCTTTTTCTATTATTGTTTTATCATAATAAATCACTTCAAATTATCACCATAATTTTATTTTTACTAGCAAGAAGTTAATCAGATGTCTAAAAGTTTGCAACTGTATATTTCATAGAAGAGTTGAAGGGACCTCCAGGACCATCTAATACAACTTGTACCCAAAGTATTAATCCTACCTACAGTGCTACAATTATTGAATAGAATCCTAGAACCTAGAAGTGGAAGGGACCCTAGACATTATCTAATCCCATCTCCTCATTTTATAGAAGGGTAAACTGAAATCCAGACATGTTAAATGACTTTACCAAGGTCATACAGGGTAGCACAACTGGAATTGATACTGAGATGCTCTGACACCAGATCAAAGGTTCTTCCCATTTTGTTCTATATTCCAAGTCCTTTCAACCATTCTCTTTAAATGGCTTATGGTAGAACTTTCTTATCAGGAATTTCCTCCATAGATATAAAATATTATAGTATGTCTTTATATAATATTTAATTAATATAACATATTAACATAATGTTTGTATATAATAAATATATCAATAAAAGTCTTATTTTTACATATTTACTTATATATTTTAATATTACATTATATTTTCTGTATTTTATCTTAATGTTTAAATTAATAATTTATTTAATTTGTTTTATTCATTTTCATTTATTTTAAACTATTAATTAATTTAATTTAATGTTTAATTTAGTGTTTATATATTTATGTAATTATATTCATATATTTGTATATACATTTATATTTATATTTATCCATGAATACACATGCCTTTTCTGGTTACATAAAGTTGGGGAGATTAGAAGCTCAAATGAGATGAGAGTAAGCATAAATCAATTAAGTTATGAATTATTATTGGGACTTTTCATACACTTGACATAAATTAGGTTGAATCCAGACTGAGGAATAACCACAGAAAACAATATCAACAATATTGACTTTAAAACTTCCATGAAGCAGTATGTGATCTGAAATCTTAATCTGCTCCTTTCTGCCATCCCCCACATGCCTTTTACTCAGTATTTACTAGGCATACTAGTATAACCTTTAAAGGAAACATCCACTAGAAACCCACTTTCAAAATCCCTAGAGTAGGAAGAAATCTCACCACTATCCAGTTCCTGTTTAATAAGCCAGACAAATGTTCTCCACTTCCACTTCTCAGAGTAACTATTCCCAACTTCTATCAATCAGCAAGGTGAATCTGCCCCAAGACACCTAAGTTAGCTAGCTACTCCAAGCAACATAGTTAGGTACTGTCTAACATTTTCTGCAGGTGTCTGGCATGTCTGTCATCATCCCTGCCAGTCAGACTTCCAGCACTACCTTGGCAGCTTGCACACTGCCAGCTCCAGTTCATGCATGCCCAAGAGTCAGAGTCTCTATAGGTAGAGTGAAAATCTGACCTTTAAAATCTTGATCAGAATTATGACCTACCATAACCCTGACAGTTGAATTTTCATATTAGCCTAGTTGCCTTCCATCTCCTTTGGACATAACCAAACATAAACAGTTTTGCAGTTTGCAAAAGGCTTCTACAACTAAGTGCTAACACCTATTTCATATTACTCTCTTTTCAAACTATGTTCCAACAAAATTGAATGACTAGCTTGAATTAACTCATTCAAGAAACATTGTTAAGTACCCACTAGGTTCAAGTAGCCACTTTGTTAGACACCAGGGATACCAACAGACCTCCTTCTCAAAGAGTTTACATTGTAACTGGAGAAAAAAAGCGTATATATCTCTCTAACTGTATCTGTACACACACACACACACACACACACACACACAAAACCCTATGATTCACAGAACTGTGAAATAAGGATGTCAAAGTTCTGTATGAGATACTTGAGGAAAGAGAAATCATTTTCATAACATAGTATTAAAGAAAGCTTCATGAAGTAACAGGCACCTTGGTTGAATTTATTTAGCTTAATTTTTTTTTAATTTATGGAATAAAACAAGCAGTTCCACAACATAGTATAATAAAAAAGATCATTGCACATGAAACTGCAAAATCTATTATGTACAACTTGCTATTCCTTTTAAATATATAATAAAGTTATCATGTAAGTTTCTTTTTTTTTTCTTCCCTCTCCCCCACCCTAGATATGGCTACCATTAGACACAGAAAGGGGTGTGTGTGTGTGTGTGTGTGTGTGTGTCACATGCATATACCTGAATATGTGTATGTATATATATATACATAATATATATACAATAGGTATATATATATACACTGTATACATAGTGTATATACAATGTTTCTACACTATGTACATATATGTGTGATATATATACATGAATATATACATACACATGTAAAATTATTCTATACATAGTAACAGCAATATTGTTTTAAGAATGACTTGAAGCAAACAAGTCATTTTTACTATTATTAATACCTAAATTAATTATAAAAGACATATAAAGGAAAACACTGTCTGCATAGAGAGAAAGAACTGGGTTGAATCTTTAAAGGAGGGTATAAACATCTACAGATAGAGATGGGAGCAATATAATCTAGCTATGTGAAATGCCATGAACAAGGGTACAAAGATAGGAAAGGAAAGAGTGAGAGAGAGTAGTCCAGTTTGGGTTTAACATAAAGTATACAAGGGTGAGTAGGTAGTGAGAGATAAGGATGGACAAATGGATCGAGCATGTTCCTAAGGATTATCTATGGAACAGCTAATTGTACATCACTGGGCTATTAGGAAAATACTTTTAAAATCTTAACACTAGAGAGATGTCAATTGTTATCATTTTATTCCATTGGGGCAACTGGGTGGTATTACTAGACTTGGAGTCAGAAAGACCTGAATTCAAGCCCTTCCTTAGATACCTACTGGCTGTGTGACCCTAGGCAAATCAGAGACTTCTCTTAGTCTTTTTTCCCATCTATAAAACAAGGATAATAATAGCACCTACCTACAAGGGTTTCTGCCAGGATGAAATAGCATAACATTTGTAAAGGGCTTTGTAAACCTTAAAGCACTATATAAATGCTACTACTACTTTGTTGTTGTTGTTATTTAGTCCTTCAGTCATGTCTGACTCTTCATGACCTCATGGACCATATTATCCAATTGGCAAAGATACTGCAGTTGTTTGCCATGTCCTTCTGCAGTGGATTAAGGTAAACACATTAAGTGACTTGCCCAGGGTCACACATGTAGTAAGTGTCTGAGGCCCATTTTGAACAATGGTCTTCCTGACTCCAGGCCCAGCACTCTACCTAGTGAGCCATCTAGTTGGCCCTGCTGCTGCTGCTGCTGCTGCTGCTGCTGCTATTACTACTACTACTACAACTACTTATCATCATCATCATCATCATCATTATTCTTTTTACCTCAGGCTTGATTAGGCTCAAATGACTAAGAAGCCTTTTATCTTGCTGATTGCCTACCTGAGTCATTATCCAGTCATCTTAAAACACCAGGCTCAGGACAATGAACCTAATTCACTATACTATTGGGCTTTATAAACAGATAGCTAAATTTAATAAAGTACTATATCTCCATTCTTGTTAAACAGCATGAACACCATTTTCATTTTGCCCCATGACTAGAAATAGAGTTGAAGCTTTCAAATCCATAGTTAAAAAATAAAAAGTATGTATGGGAGGAGGGGATAAGGGAGGAAATGTCCTTATTTCTAGATATTCATCTACCTGAGGTAGAGTGATCTCTTCTGAAGACTTACACCTAGCCAGAAGAGGTCTGATGCACCAGAAAATTTTGCCCATTCTACGTCTCTATGGGTCCGTTATTACCAAACAAAATCCTGTAAAACAGTCTTGATCGGCAGCTAGAAGTTGGGGATCTCTATTCAAAGGACAGTCCTATTTCCAACATAGTTATTTTCACAAGCTTTGTACTTGTCACCTCTGGCAGACCACTTACCTTGTTGATGTATTTCTCTTACAGAGATACCCCCAGCCTCGAGGACAGAAGAAAAAGAAGGTTGTGAAGTATGGCATGGGAGGCATGATCATTGTCCTGTTGATTTGTATTGTCTGGTTCCCCCTCCTTTTCATGTCTCTGATCAAATCTGTTGCTGGAGTCATCAACCAGCCCCTGGATGTCTCCGTCAAGATAACTCTGGGAGGTTATCAGGTAACTGTCCAGTTGTTATAGCAATAACAACTACATCCTGAACTTCTGTTTCATATTATTCCTCTGAATTTTACCCTGGGATGATGAGTCCAATTCACTTTTCACCCATGAACTAATCCAAGGACTTTGAGATGTTTATTTCATGCCTCTGTTATCTTATTTAACTTTGGTTTGTCAATATAGCTGTGTCCCAATGAACATGAACATTATTTAAATGCTCACCTCATATTTCTACTGGGCAGGGCAAATTTAAATACATGCAACTGCTTCTGAGGATTCATTGTACATACTTATTGGAATCTAGCTATATTTGATGCCAAATGAGGTGCTGAGGAGAGTAGGATAGAACTCAGACTCTGTAGGGAGATGAGAGGAAAAGGGGACAGGAATAAGCATTTAGCACCAACTATGTCCTAGGTACGGTGCTAAGTGCTTTACAATTGTTGTCTCACTTGATCTTCATAACAGCCCTGGGAAACTGTTGTTATTATAATTCCCATTTTACTGATGAGGAAACTGAGGCAGCCAGTTAAGTAGCTTGCCCAAGATCACACAACTAAAAAGTACCCGAGACAACATTTTAACTCAGGGCTTCCTGACTCCAAAGAGTCATGAGACCCATGAGAGTAAAGGAATCCCTTCTAGAAATACCCGAGATGTTTATTAGAGTGGATAGTCCCAAAGATGTTAGAGCATTTGATTGCTTTTCTTTTCACATTACCATAATGAAAAGTAAGTGGAGGCTAACGGTCTCATGCCCTTTTTTGTCTTGTAGCCTATTTTCACAATGAGTGCTCAACAGAGCCAGCTGAAACTTATGGAGCCAACTTTGTTCAAAGCATTTCTAAGGAATTATTCAACAAATACTGTAAGTAAATGCATATATCAATTCCCTATTTAAAATCCAACATCTAAATGACCATAAAAGGAGCTAATGATATTTGTCAATGTTATAGAAGACTTAAGGTGGGAATGCTAAGGGAACAGAGCATGAATAAAATATGGATCCTTGATAGGCAGTCTTCTGGCTTTAGAAGTAAGGCCTATGTGGTCCAAGTTTATGCTATTTAGATCACCAAACATTTATTACTTGTGCCTACTATGTGTTAGGCACTGTGCTAGATGCCAAGAATATAGATACAAAGTTGAGATAGGTCCTGCCCATTCACATGAAATGTAATTGAGCAAAACAGTAAGAGAACAGTGCTTTTAAATGCTGTAATTTGGTAACTGGTAAATACCATAAAGTCATTAGTGTCATAAAGAACTGCTAGCATCAGCTGTAAGAAATCCATGGTCAGAAAAGTGATGAAACACTCTAGATAAGCACTATTTTCTGAGCTGGCCTGATGGACAAGATGATGTGGGCTGGGATTCAGATTCCAGTGAATGTAAGAATTGACTCTACGGGAGAAATTCACAGTTGCACAGTGAAACAAGGTTCATTTTAATGACAGACAGGAATCTGGGGAAATTAACCACTCCTTCTCTGATGAGTATAGTTGGTTGGGCTTTGATCAATGACAGCCGCATCAGCCATATAGCTCACTGCGGCCCCAGTTTCTGGATTGCAGAGTATATGGCAGGCCTTATCAGTCTTCGGTCAGAAAATTTAAAAGCAGCCCTCAGTCTTGCATGGTTTCTTCTATGTCTGCAGTTATGAATATGTTACAGTTGGGACAGACCACTTTTCTAAAAGAACACAAAGCCTCTTCCCCACCAAGGAGGATGTTTTTGTGTCCTTCTGGGTCTAGGTATTGATAAAACTGGAAATTTTATTGAAACTGTTTCCCATAGAGAAGAAAAGTATAGCCAAATTTGTGATCTAGGGACTTGAATTCTGTTTTAAGATAAAATCCTCCCTAGCTTGACCTTGTCCAAGGCAACTAGAATAAAGGGAAGGCAAGATTTAGGGATGTCGATTCCTAAGAAACTTAAACAGAAAAAACAAAACTTAATATGTGGCTACCTTATCACTACAGAGAGATATGGAGTATGATGGGAATAGGATCCCAGAAATAGTGAATGACTACCATATTGATAATCATGGAGTTAATCGTACTGCTATACTACACATTTTCTTAAGAAGCTTTTGTAATTATATACAAAAACATTCAGAGAAGGATTGTTTTCCATACTCTTTGAGTGGTTCAATGTTCTATCTGATTGTGCTTACAGAATGCTATGCAATTTCTGGAAAATTATCAAAGAGAAGACATAACAATAGTTGAACTGGAAGGAAATTCAAATTCTTTGTGGACCATCAGCCCTCCCAGTAAGCTGAAAATGATAAAAGAACTCAAGGATTTTGATAATAGCTTCTCTCTTGTTTTTTCATGGAGTATTCAGAGGTAGTTACTATATTTCCTTACCTAATTTCCCCTTTTTTCCCTCAGGGGGAAAAGATGGAGGTGGGGTGGGATATGGGAGGAAAAGAATTCTATTAACAGTTGGATCATAATCCACTGTCTCAGCAACTCATTCATTTTTTAAGATCAAAATCCTCATTTGACAACAGAGATTTATGCAGAGCAGGGGTTCTTAGCCTAAGATCCATGAACGTGTTTTCTTTTTATATTTTGATAACTGTATTTAAATGGAATTAATTTTCTAACAATCTAATATATTTTATTTTTTACTTAAAAACATCATTGTGAGAAAGCTTTCATAAGCTTCACCTACTGGTCAAAGGAGTCCATGATACAAAAAAACAAAACAACAAAACAACAACTTAGAAATTCTGACCTAGAGTTACAAAAACATCAGTAGCAAATTTATTATCTAGACTTTCTGACTATTCTCCTCTCCACTAGATATTTTTCCTTGAATACTTGAAAATGCCATTATATAGAAATACTAAATATGAGTTTGTGAACACGAGAAAGGGGAAAATGGAAGATGACTTACAAAATAAATAAAAAGTATATTTCCCTTTCCTTTTCCTTTTCAAGTTTCAGGTTCAGTGTTTAAAGCATCTTTGATCCACAGAAAGAACCTTGTAGGTAGATAATGCCGTTTCAGCTCATCATTTAGCTCTCCTGTAATTGGCAGCCTTAGAAATTCTAGACCAATAGCCCAAGAGAAATAGGAGGGAAACAAATAGAAAATGATATTAGAAGGAGTTAGGCATCTGGGTGACATGACTAAAGGAGAAAATGTTGACTTATACCTTTTCACTCCTTACCTGAGTCAATGATGAGCAGTTGGGAGCTCCTTGATTGAATTCTTTTTCTGCTTTGGCTGGTAAGAAGTAGATTTCCTAGAGAAGCCTCTGCTAGAAGCTACAGTTGTTGTCTCAAAACAAACAAACAAAAAAAGAAGCAATAGTTGAGAGCAAAAAAGAGGAAGAGAATTATATGAATAAAACATATCTCTCATTTTTTTCTTAAATGTATAAGGGGAGGGAGAATAAAGTACATATGATAATTTCTGTAAAAATTTACTAAGGTAACCTCTTAACATATTCTACACTGAGTTATTCTTTTATTTGCCCCATTCCCTGAGTTAGCCAAACCTAGAAAGTCAAGAAATGAATTTTTAAGGAGTACATGACATGAGTATTTTGGGAATGATTTAGAGGGCGAAGTCATAAGTACAAAAGAATGATATTGCCATTGGTACCATAATGCATCAAGCATGCAAGGTGAACACATAGAAAAACAATGGGTCACTACTCTGAGGCCTCTCATAACTTTCAAAGGCAACTTCTTTAGACTTTATTTTGGAACAGCTTCAAACATTGTTCTAAGGACAATAAAAATCTGTTATCTGAAAATCAGGCTAGCTAACTACAAAGGAGCTCTGCTGCTAGTAGGCTAGACACAGGCAATACGTTCTTTAACCTTGACAACACCTAAGATGAAAAAAATTAAAAGATGGCCCTCAGTCTTGCATAGTTCCTTCCATGTCTGCAGAGATGAAGTAGTAGAAAAGGGGAAAAAGTAATAATATCTATAAATATTAATTTATGAAGTTAAGTCCTTGTATAGTTGCTGAGTTGACATAGTTTTAGAACAACTGAACCATTTCAACACTGATATACTCTCACAATTAATAAAATTAGATGACATAAGCAAGTTACAGCTAAATGAGTAAGTGACTCACAGTTTCTCCAAGTAGATGCAAATAAAGAAGTTAGCAGAGTTGGTTTCATCATATGCCTTAAAGCAACAGGACTGATGATTTCATAGAACACTTTATCACCTTTGCAATGTTCATGATAAACACACACAAAAGACCGTCTTAAAGATAATTGCAACTTAGTGCCATTATTTATTGCACAAAGTGAAGAATTAGAGAAATTCTGTGGATACCTTGATAAGATCTTCCGGTCAAATGAATATATAAGTTGGTGATTGTGGATTTTAGTGCAAACATCAGCTTACTGGAAGATGATAAAGAATGTTAGAAAACAACATTCAGAATTAGAAAACAAAAGAGACCAAATGCTTATAAACTGCTTACGTTAATATAGCTTGAATATTTCCTTCAAAAATAATATTTGAAGGTGCTAAACATGAAGAGTACCAAACAACATCATAAAAAAGGAAATTGACTACTTAATGATAGACAGGAAATGACTGCTTACTACAATGTGAATAATTTCCATATCAGCTGTTTATTATGATCAACTAGTTACAACAAACATAAAAATCAACATAAAACTAGAAGAAATTATAAAGATGATAAGAAGATATGGTACATAATGATTATGGCTTCAACCTGATCTATTCAAAAAAACTATTGATGCCAAAAATGGGAAATGTATAAAGAAAGACATCAGTATAAACTATCATCATTGCTTCCAGAAATTTGATCACTATAAAGCAGTCACTGCAATGAGGAATCCAAAGGTACCTAGAAACTGAACACATACATGCAAAAAGGCATGACATTTAGGGCAACATAATTTTAGAATTTAAAGTTATCTGCAGTTATACAGGAAGAGAGTTAATTATAAGTATAAAATTATAAAGAGCAGTAGAGGGGAAATGACTATGCAGAAAGTCAAGAATGAAACTCAATTAAACTATCCCAAGATAACTGTCAATAGAACAAAAACTCCTTGAAAGAAGGAACTATTTCTCAGATTTTCTTCGTGTATCTAGCACCTAATATAGATAATAGAGAAGTTTATAAAAGGCACAGTTTTGCAGGGTAGGGGAAAGCTAATGAGTACTCTTTTGGACATGTTGAGTTTGACTTGCCTATGGGACATCTAGTTAGGAAAAAAAAAATCCAGTGAACAGTTGGTGATTTTAGAACTGGAGCTCAAGAGAGATAAGGAATGAATTTGCTAGTCATCTACATAAAGATAGTAATTTAACCCATGGGAACTGATGAGATTACAGAGGAAGAGGGAGAGGGAGAGAGAGAGAGAGAGGGGGAGAGAGAGGGAGAGGGAGAGAGAGAGAGAGAGAGAGAGATTGAAGATTGAAAAAAGCTATTAAGAAATCGCAGTTAAGAAATCATTGGTAACCTTGCAGAGAGGAGTTTCAGTGGAATGGTGTGGCTGAACACCAGAGTGCAAAGGGTTAAGCAGTGAGAAGAGAAAGCATAGGAGAGAAAGGGAGAAGAAAAAGTGTAGATGAGGAGTATACATAGTGTTTTCTGAAGTTTAGCAGCGAAAAGGAGGAAACAAGTATAGGATGATAGCTTCTTATTTTATTAATCATAGTGGCTCACCAGGTGATAATTACACAACGCATAGTAGTAGAGAGAGTGGGGCTATCATTCTCTACTCACCTATGCATTCTTGTTCCAACTCCCTCACTATCCTGACCACATGCAAGCCTAATCTTATCACTCATCCCTTCTCTTCCTCTTTGAAGCTTAAGTCTGGCCCTAGGTGGGGGAAGAAAAAATGGCAGAACTCTTCTATCTATATGATAACAAGAGTCAGGGCTTACTTCATAACCAGACCCAGGTGGACCAGATGTCTTATCCAGTGGCCCCCCACATCTACATGGGGAGGGAGAAGCAGGAGGGTAGTAGCGACATTTTGTGGGGCTAAGATTTTATGGCAGTTAATATGGATGGCAATAAGATGACCTTTTCCACCCCATGTTATTCATGGTCAAGTGCTCAGGGTACCCATGCTCCAAGGATCCTCCCAAACTGCTTCTCATTGGAGAAGAAGGGAAAGAAATGTCGCTGCTCTGCTTTAAAGCTTGACACTTTCCATTCAAAGATGAGGAGTCAATCCCTATCTCATTTCTACACCTCCTTCTCAATTTTGACTTAGGTGTAAAACATGCAGAGTAATTAAGGTTTGAACAATGGTCAGGGACCATGGTCCTTGGTGGAGAAAAGTGAGCAGCATTCACTGGAAGGTTCCTGAATGTTGATGGTCCTACCCCTCTCTTTCACCTTTTTTTTTTTTTTGGAGAATGTATGTCTCACAGCCTTGATAACTAATTAAAAAGATTACTAAATACCTGTTGTAGATAACACACTATCACTATGTTCTTAGAAAAATAAAAAATGTCATGTCCTTACCTTCATGAAGCTTATAATTGGGTGGGATATACCTTAAAGACATCAACATAGCACTCGAACTCTCTGTTCTCTCTCATTATAGCTGCATGTCCAGCCCACCTTCTCTTCTAGTCAGGCATGTCCTTGATGGTGTTGACCCCTGAAATAAATGAAGGTGTTTTTGTTAACTAATTTTAAAAATCCACCCTCTAAAAATTGTTGGATCAAAAACAATTTTTAAAAATCCTATATCTGACTATCTTCGTGCTGACTGAGCTACAGGAAAATTTAGTGGAGGAACATAACAGTAACAAGGTCTTTCAATCACTCAATATTATTTTCCTCATCTGTAGAACTACTCTAAATGTGTTGTGATCTACTTGGATTTTTTTTTTTAGCTAAGTGAAAGAGAGAAAAATTAGAAGAAAAGGACATTGCCAGACAAATATGGTAGAGTCCAATGCAAATTTGGTGAACTGAGTAGGATTGATAAAGATATGTTTTGTTTTTGTTTTTTTAATTGTCTGCAAGGCTACTTGATATTTACACTTACTTTTTATTTGTTTTTGTTTTCATAGAAACCTAAGTCTGGGTGCAAAATCAGAAATAGCATCAGATAAGCTTTCTTTTAACCTTGAAAATGAGACCAGAATTTCTATCGCAAACATGATGTCTGACTCTAAAACTACAGCGACACCAGCGTAAGAACACTTTTATTTGTAATGCATTTTTAAAATATATATGTGTGTGTACGGGTAAATATATATATACACATATACATATATACATACATGTATGTATATATGCATGTGTGTATGTGTGTATATATATATATGTATATGTATATATACATTATATATAATAGTCTTTCCAGCAAGTAGGTGGACTCTGAGTTGTGGGGATTTGGTAAAGGCAGAAATAAAGTGAAATTCATTCACAACTTCTAACCAAAGCAGACCAGATTCTCAGCTTGCTATGCTGCTGACCTTATCGTACCATTTTTTCTCTCCTGTTCAAAGGAAGTATTTTTCTCCCATCTATTATAAATGTTTTAGGAACAGGGGTCACAATGGCTTATTCCTTAGAAATGCTTAGTAATAAAGAGCATCAATGGTTGTAATTCTCTTGATTCATTAATACAAAGCCTCTAAGTTAGAAAACATTAGAAAACAGCCTGATTCTGCCAGTGAAGGTGAGGTTCAAATGACCAAAAGGGACGTAAAGAGGTCCTGTAGGCCAGAGGTGAGGGAAACACTTACAGTGCTGCCCAAACCAGATTAAAATATAATTGGGAAATATTTAACAAAATAAATAAATATACAATAAAGCATAGATAATATTACATTTTAAAACTAAGTCAATATGAAGCCCATGGGGATCATTATATACAGCTTTGTGGCCCCTGTTTCTATTTTGTTTTATGCTGATATAGGCCATACCTTACTGTCTTGTTAGTCATGACAACATATCATCTATCCTACCCAGGACCAAAGGATTATCAGGGAATTGTATTTCTATTCGCACTTGAAATTTTAAAATTAGCTTATCTACACAATTTATTTGAATTTCTGTCTGGAATTAGTTGGCTTAGTAACACTTAGCAGCTATAGAATCCATGGGAATATCAACCTATCAATGATGATTTCTATTGAGGGCATGGATGTGTGAACTTCCTTCATCTTCTGACTAGCCTCTTTTAGGTGGAATAAAGGCTAAACATTACCTCCTTTTTTGTATAGGACTATAAAAGGGATATATCCATATTACCTCAAAGCTCCTAGTGATGCCAATACAAAACCCATAAAGCAGCTTTTAAAAGGTAAGTATCACTTACATGAGATTTTCACAAGTTGTGCCGATATGGTATTTGTTTTACAACTTCGGTACTTAAGTGTTCCTAGCCTCTCTCTGACTCTCTTTCCCAGTAATTTTCATTTATCTGGCACATAGCCTTCATCTTTTTCTCAAGAATGGAAAGCCTTGACTGCCTAACCTCTACAAATCAGAAGGATAAGTTCACCCACCCTTGAAATACTCAAGTCTCGTTTCCTTTCTCCTATTGGCTCTCTCAGGCCAGTGATTGACTTACTCCACACATAATGGCTTAAATTATTGATTTTATCATCTCTTTACCAATTCCCCTTGGTGTCACCTAACAGTTGGATTGGATTTTATTTTATTTTATTTCATATAGTAACTACTTTATACAGATCTTAGAGTGGCCATATATCCCTTACAATAGAGAATAAAATTAACTAGCTACATCATAGGGATTTTTGATGATGGAGGGTCATAGTCCATTCCACCACCAGCCCCCCCCCCCCAAAAAAAAATCCCATGGTATGCCTAGGAATTTTTTTCATAATAATTGCTCATTTACTTGAATGAAGTTCACTTATACCAAATCATGATCATCTCCACCACCATCAGCATAACCACCACCAAATTTGAATGACCTCATACATAGTACTTTGTGAAGCAAGGCAAAGATCTATATGGTCCTTTAACTTCATGGACTTTTGAAAAAAATATATAATTCAGGTCTACATGTTGCCAAACAATTCCTCATTGTCCATAGTTGTTATTTCAAACCTTTTTCATATTCCTCAGTCCCCAGACCTGCCCCTTCCTGTCTCATTCTCAGCAATAGGCCTCACCTCCTACTTGTAATAAAATTAAGACCATTCTAAGTTCTTTCAAATGCATTCCTATCTTAAAATGTCACTGCAGTAAAAACCTTAGTATTTCTTCACCCATTTTTTCCTTTCCGCGGCCTCCCATTGCCAATATTCTTGATCCTATTCTCTCCCACTTTTAGGACTATGTATCGTCAATTAATCTCTTGCTTTTTGCACCTCCAATCTCTACCTCTCTGCTGGTATTCTTCAAACATGAATAGGTAGGTAGGTCCCAATTATCCAAAAAAAAATCTTTTCACTAGAATGTAAATTCTTTGAGAGCAGGAGCTTTTTCTTTTTTTGTTTTTGTATATCCAGCATCTAGAATAGTGCCTAATATGTTTGTTGTTATTCAGTCATTTTTCATTCATGTTTAACTCTTCATGACCCTATTTGGGGTTTTCTTGGCAAAGATGCTGGAGTGGTTTGCCATTTCCTTCTCCAACTCATTTTACAGATGAGGAAACTGAGGCAAACTGTCTTAAGTGACTTGCCCAGGGTCACACAACTAGTAAGTGTCTGAGGCCAAATTTGAACAAAGAAGATATATCTTCCTGACTTCCGACTTGGCACTCTATCCAATATACCACCTAGCTAACCTACCTAAAACATTGTACAAACTTAATAAATGCTTGCTGATTGAATGGCTTATTTTCAATCAGGAGGCCTTACTGAGCTACTAATCTATGTTTCACCTTCCTTTCATTATCTAATTTCTCTTTAAGAAAGAAAAACCTTTTGATTACCTGCCTTTAATTCTGCTATATTCATTCACTCTTTACTTCCCTGGAGTCTGGTTTTTGACCCCATTCCTCTACTGAAACTAATGTTCTAAAAGACTTCCTAGTCATCCAATCCAGTAGCATTTTTCTTAATCTCACTGTTCTTTTCCTCTCTCACATTTGACATTATTGATAATACTTTTTTGAAATTTCATTCTTTTGTTGATTTCCATGATTTTGCACTATTCTGACTTTCCCCTTTTATCTTGGACAGTTTCTTTTCTGTTGCCTTGGCAGAATACTCTTCTCCTTTCCCTTAAATGTGCATACTCCTTAAATGTCTGTTCTTCACCTTTTGGTCCTCTCTTTTCACTCTCTTTGGTGAGAAGAGCACTAGTCTAGGTATAACAAGGGAAATGGAAGGGAAGGGAATGAGTGTTTATATAAGACCTACTATGTTCCAGGAACTGTGCTGAGTGCTTTTACAAATATTATCCCATTTGATCCTGACAACAACCATGTGAAGTAGGAATTAATATATCCTCATTTTATAGTTGAGTAAACTGAGGCAAACAGAATTAAGTGACTTGCTTAGGGTCACTCGGCTACTAAGTGTCTCAGACTGGATTTGAACTGGGATCTTCCTTACTACAGTCCATCACTCTACCCACTGCACCACCAACGGCATCAACAAAGACTAGATTGGAGTCCCAGCTCTACCATTTATGAGCTGAGTAAGCCTGAATAAGTCACTTGACTTCCTAGAGACTTAATTTTCTTATCTGTAAAGTGATAAGACTAGATACTGTTTCAGCTCAAATAATCTATGAAAAAACAAGTCTACAAATCCCTATATAGATTAACTTCCGTGCAGACTTCTAAAACAGTATCTCCTCCTGCAACCTCTCTTCTGAGCTCAAGTTCCATGTTCCCAAGAGTACAATGGACATTTCCACCTGTAACCTTAATTTCAACAGATGAAAAACCAAACTCATCATTTTCCTAACAATGAGAGGTATCCATACACCCAACTACATTTTTCTGACGTCCTTATTTCTGTTATTAATGATAATATCATTCTCTCAGTCATTAAAACTTAAAAACTCAGTGATGTCTTTTACTGCTTCTATCACCTCCATTTAATCCTATCAATTCTTCCTTTGAAATATTTATTACATTGACATTACATTTATTACATTGACATTACATTTATTACGTTGAAAATATGGAGAGTACACAGAAAAGATGATCAGAGAGTGATGAGTCAAAAGACCATACTATACAGGAATTGTTCAAATGAATTAAGGATATTTACCCTGGAGAGGAGAAGCTTTGGGGCAATGGAAGGGTCTTGATAACTGTCTTTGAGTATTTTGGGGGGTCATAGCATGGAAGAGAGATTATATTGCTTTTATTTGGCCCCAGAAAATAGAAATAGAGGAGTTCTGAAAAGTCATCTTCTTTCATTTCACATGTTGAAATTTTACCTGTCCTTCAAGGTCAAACTGTTTCTCTCAATCTCTCACTGATAGCTGCCCTCTATGCCTTTTCTCGTGTTTTCTGCCTCTCATGTAATGGACTGATTGGTCACTCCCAAACTCCATTTCCTTTCTTTAAGGGCCAGTTTAAGTACTATACCTCCTTCATTAAAATATCTCTGTCCTTCTGCCCCACAGGAAGTGATCTCTCCTTTTTCAGATTTTATATAACATTTTTCATGTATTTCTCTTTTGCATTTATCACTGACACTTTAACTAGAGTTATTTATGTTCCATTCTCAATCTTCAAGAATAAGATATTTGTCACAGCTATTTTTGTATCACCAACACCTGACATAGTATAGGTACTTATTAGATTTTTTTTTATTGAACTGAATAGGATTATTTGAAAACTGATTGATGTATGCCAAATTTCTGAGATTCTTGTTTAAACTTAATTGTATTCTTCTTCCTTTCTAGATAATAATTTTAAAGATATCACCATCATTTTGTCCCGAGACAATAGCAGTGTAACTGAGAATGAGTGGTGGGTTCTCAACCAGCTTGGAAACAAGTTACATAACAAAGATACTCAAGGTTTGGAACTGGTGGTATTCAACGACAAAGTTAGCCCTCCCAGTCTTGGATTCCTTGCTGGCTATGGGTAAGGGATAATTTCACCCATGGAAATCTAAAAGTCTACCTTCATGATTTTTAAATTTGGATCACGGAAACATTTTATTTTCAGAGTTATAAAATCATAGAGCTAATAGGGACTTCAGAGTCCATGAAATACAACCTCCTCATTTTATAGATCAAGAGTTTGAGGCACAGAGAGATTTTACCAGTAGTCAAACACTTATTCAGTTATATAGCCAGGACTAGAACTCAAGTCTCTCACTCCTAGTCCAATAGTCTTTCTCCTAAACTACACTGTATTTAAATTTATAAAAATGTTTATGCATTTTATCTCCCTACTTCAGAGCATCTTTTAGAGTATAAAGCACCAGGCAATTATAATCAATTTTGTCCCATAATTCATTACCTGGGTGTTATCTCTACTTAAGCCTACAATACCAATATAACCAGTATTAGTTTTGAAAAATTAAGATCATAAGGCAACTTTGTTGTCAGAATAATATTTATATATGATGTTTGATGTATATTATATTTGTTATATGATATCAATATGCATATATATACACACATATATGCATTGAGTCCTTTTTCATTCATGACCCCATTTGGTGTTTTCTTAGCAAAAAATACTACAGTGTGGTTTGCCATTTTCTTCTCTGGCTCATTTTACAAATGAGGAACTAAGGCAAACGGGGTTAAGTGATTTGCCCAGGGTCACACAGCTAGTCAGGGTCTAAAGTTGGATTTGAATTCAGAGGATGAGTCTTTCTGACTCCTGGCCTAGTATTCAATACTCTGGGCCACTAGCTGCCCATACATACATACATCCATACATATATACATACATACATTCAAATGGTTTAACTCAGATTTCACTAAATTCTGATTTGGGGATTGGAGGTGCCAAATTGACAGGTTATTTAAGCAGCATGTAGCTATAGCCTCTGGTTCCCCCTATATTAACTACAACTTTCCTAAGCTTCATATTCCTCCATTCTACTCCAGCCTTTGGCCAAACTAGATTTCATGCCATAACTATCTCTATTGATTTAAAAAGATGGCCACGTTTTCCCCTGCCTCAAACTTCTATCTTGGAATTACTACTGAAAGTATTGCTAGCTGCCTACACCCAGGGCTGAGGATTTTGTGTGTTTGTGTGTGTGTGTGTGTGTGTGTGTGTGTATGCACCCATTTTCCATACTATAAATAAGATCAAGTTCTTTATAGGTTTATAGGTCTGGGTAAGCTGGTCTATGTTCTCTTTAAAGTCTAGAAGGTACAGTAGAGTTAGGATTTTATTTTTAAAATATTTTTATTTTGTCTGTTATTCTTATCATTTAATGATGTAATTATATATCTATCTCCCATTTCACTTATTTTGAACAATTTCCCTTTTTATTTTCACAGTATTATGGGACTGTATGCTTCTGTTGTCCTCGTGATTGGGAAGTTTGTCCGTGAATTCTTCAGTGGAATCTCACACTCCATAATGTTTGAAGAGCTTCCAAATGTAGATAGAATTTTGAAATTGTGCACCGACATTTTCTTAGTGAGAGAGACGGGGGAACTGGAACTAGAGGAAGACTTATATGCCAAACTGATATTCCTGTATCGCTCACCAGAGACAATGATCAAATGGACTAGGGAAAAAGACAACTGATGCTGTGAGATGCAAAATGCAAATAAAATTGACATTTAATTTTTTTTTAAAAGCACAAAATTCTCAGAAGAACCAAGTGTTTTATAGGCAGGCATTGGTGGCCTCTCCCAGACCTCTTGGAATCCATACCACCTTTCTGACTAAGGGATGATGGTGAAGATTGGTTTTGATGTTTTTAAATTCCACTTCTATCAAACCATGGGAACATGCTTTATAATGTTGTCAGCAGTGTCTGGCATTGTGGCCAAGCAAAAGAGCCATATTTATGAATTCAGAGAGGACCAAGAGGGAAAGGAACAAAAAGAAAAGATGCCCCATGGATGGTTAAACTGGGCCTATAATGGTGACACAGTTTGGGTATACAAAATCCAGCTTTCCATCACTAACTGTGAAGAAGCCATGATGGAAAATCAGGAGACTGCCAGCACACAAGCAGTGGGGTATAGCAACATGAGGCTGAGTCTCTTCGCCCTACCTGCTTCTGGCAAAACAGAGCTATTGACACATTGAGACCTCAAATAGAGAACAAGCCTCATTCTAAGCAAAAAGATAACCTTAGTGATAATCTCTTACTGCCTTATTTTATTTGAAAAAAAAATCATATGAAGAAAGTTTCCATGAAATATCAATGACTTCTCAGGAAAAAAACAAAAAACAAAAACAACAGTGAAACCCATTTTGCTAAGATCCTGCAAATCGCAAACACCAATGACGACGACTGTTTTATGAGGTTATTTGCTTCACACTTACTGCTCCTCATTAGACATAGACATACAGTATAAAACAAGACAGCCCAATTATATAAGGAGCACTTTGACTTTATAAATCTTTAATAACTGAGGTCATAAGCATTTTCCTGCCTTTTCCCCATCCTTTAACATGCTTACCCCCCCATACTCCATTTTGATGATTTAAGGCAATGCTTTTTCCAGTATGTGACATTTTCCTTCCAGTTTTTCAGGTATACCAAAGTGTTTACATATTCCAACTCACATTTTTACATCCAAGACGGGTTTTTTTAAGTTCATAATTATGAAAGAAGTATGTATATGAGCTTGGGGGAAATAAAATGGCCTTTTTCTTAAATTATTATCATTGGTGATACAACCTCTTCATTAAAGAACAATGTAGCATGAAAATTTGTGATTGAAATGTAGTTTTCATTACATGTTAACTTATGGTTTCAAAGACGAATCATTGAGCAAACTGAGGTATGTGAAAAGATTATTCTGAGTAGTTTAGATTTGGGAATGACACAGAAATAAAGCCCATGTTGTATAGTCATTTTAAAGATACTCATTATTCTGCCATTTTGCATGGAATATTTGAAAGGGGTTTGGGGGAAGTGTCTATCCATGGCATATACCCAGGAATGAAGAAACCCCAATGGAGATGAAGAATCAGGTCTTTTCCTCTTCGCTGCTATGTATGAACAATGTAATAGGTTACCACTTAGCAAATATCAAGGTCCTAAATTCCAAAGAGAAAACTATTATAGTGAATATGGAGCTTTAACAGCAGAGTTCAAATAATGTTCAGCGCTTCAAAATAAATATTGCACATTTGTTATTATACTGTGAAAAGTATCACACGTTCAACCCTACACATGGCATCTTGACATAAATTGCATCAAACCACTGTAACAATAAAATTGAATCAGTAAATGGAATCCTCTGGAAGACATTCTGATTTCCCAACAATGTGAAGGATTCTCAATGTGTATGTTTTTGATTATGAGTCCTTTGCTGTGAAAAAAAATCAACCCCGTGAATTTTCAGAGGTTAGATTTCATCTAGGTTAGGAAATAATAGTAGCATCACCACTGGATGTAAGTATCACATGGGTGTATGGGTGTAGCAATTGCTTTATGGTCTTTTATGTGCTGCCCAGACCATGGACAGGGATGACTGTCAACCCAATACCCCAGTTACTTCTGCTAACTGACCCTTCTCTCAAGTTATGTTTTGCCCATCTAGAAATATGATTTATTTGGTATGAGTGCCCATGTCAAGAACCTACTTGGTCACATTACCTTCTTTCCTTCCTAATCTTTTATGTTGCTTTACTTAGCACCTTGCCTCAAGAGTATAACATACAATTCATCATCTTTTTGTTGCAGCCATTTATTTTACATCTGGCATTGATTTCACAAGATTTGGGCACGTGTGCTTTAGTTCTTCATCATGAAACCACATTTCTATCACATTAGATAATAACCACACTTTTGATGAACAGTCCATTTTTCCAAGTCAAGCCTTGATTGTAATGCATAGCTTTTCAATGTGGTTTAAATTAAGTGAGTTTCCAGGCCATTGCATGTTTATCTACATCTCTTGAAAAAAGTTCTTAACTTTGTGACATGTGGCATGGTGCAAGATTGTGTTGTAGTATTCCATCTCCATTTCAGAATTTATGCAGTTCAGGAACAGTTCTGCTTCTTAGTGGGCAGGTAGGTGATGCAGTAGATAGAGCACTGGGCCTAAAGTTGGGGAGAACTGATCTGAAATCTGACCTCAGATATTTACTTGACCCTTAGCAAGTCACTTAACCTGTTCACCTCAGTTTCTTCATCTGTAAAATGGAGATAATAATAACACTTACCTCCCAGGGTTGTTGGGAGGATCAATTAAGATAATAATTATAAAGCACTTAGTGCATTGCTTGGTACACAGTAAGTGCTTTATAAATGTCAGCTATTATTATTTTCCCAATATATTTATTTCATTAAATATTTCTCAATTATATGTAAAATTTTTAACATTCGTTTAAAAAAATTTGAGTTCCAAATACTCTCTTTCCCTCCCTGCCTTCCTCCTCCTTGACAAGGCAAACAATATGATATAGATTATATATGCGAAGTCATGCAAAATATTTTCACATTAGATATGTTGTAAAAGAAAACGCAGACAAAGAAAAACAAGAAAAAGAAAGTAAAAAAAGAAAAAAGGTATGCTTTAATCGGTATTCAATCTCCATCAGTTCTTTTTTTAGGAGATGGATAGCATTTTTCATCATAAGTCCTTCAGATTATTGTCTTGGATCATTTTACTGCTGAGAATAGCTAAGTCATTCACAATTGATCATCGTACAATATTGCTGTTACTGTGTACAAATGTTTTCCTAGCTCTGCTCACTTCACTTTTTATTAGTTCATATAAATCTTCACAGATTTTTCTGAAACCATCGTGCTTGTCATTTCTTATAGCACATAATATTCCATCACAATCATATACCACAACTTGTTCAGCCATTCCCCAATTGATGAGAATCCCCTCAATTTCCAGTTCTTTGCCACCACAAAGAGAGCTACTATAAGGCCGTTTGCTTTTTTTCTCTGATTTCTTTGGGATACAGACCTAGTAGTGGTATTGCTGGATCAAAGGGTATGCACAATTTTATACCCCTTTGTACACTGTTCCAAATTGCTCTCCAGAGTGGATGGATCCATTTACAATTCCACCAACAATGCATTAGTGTCCCAATTTTTCCGTATCCCCTCCAACATTTGTCGTTTTCCTTTTCTGTCATATAAGCCAATCTGATAGGCTAGGTGAGATGGTGCCTCAGTTTTTTCAATTTTCATTTCTCTACTCAATAGTGACTTAGAGCATTTTTTCATATGACTATAGACAGCTTTCATTTCTTTTTCTGAAAACTGCCTGTTCATATCCTTTGACCATTTATCAACTGGGAGTGACTCAGATTCTTAGCTATTATTGTTAATAATAATAATAATATATTTATCAGAGTTCATCATTCCTTCAAAGGAAACAAAATTTCTAGGCCAGCTAAAAGTAAAAAAAAAATCCCCAAAATAGTTTTAGATCAATGTTTTTAGAGTCTAATAAAGATGCCCTGATCTTATAGCCTCACATGGAAATCTATCATTGGTTTAGGTGTGGCCTTAAATAAAAGGCAATTTTCATCAGAAACGATCTTTTCCAATAATAAGTCAGTGTCTTTCCAAGACAATGTTCATATCAATGGTTTGCAGCTGTCTTCTCACTACTCTTCCAACTTCAAGAAGCCTATAAAACATAATAAAGATATCAACAATAACCCCTCCAGATGCCAAATGTCTCTGAAGCTCATTGCTTATTTTTTGATGATTAATTAAACTGTTTTATAGCAAGAGTTCATCAGTTCTTATTTGTTTGTTTTGACAGCACTTTCCTTTGTGTTTTGGTGTGACTGATCCTGTTCCATTGGTGGGCTTGAACAATCTTTGAAATACCCCTGCAGATAGCCACTGCAATATCTCTGACAGACATTGAAACATGATATTTAAGAACCACAACTTTTGCATGTTTCCTTGGTGTAATACTCATTCTTAGAAACCACAGATGTTAAAATACAACAAAAGAGAGCAAAGAAACCTGTATATGGGACAAAACTCTAGCAATCAACTAAGAGAGCACTGGCTAAATGTGCGGAAACCAGTTCAGTGCAGTTTCACATGATCAAGGTCAAATATTCTAAGTCTGTCCATTAGTCCAAGTCAGTGTCATTAGAAGCATCATTGTTGTCACAGAATGAAACCATATCAAAATTATAGATTACCCTAAGCCATTTGCACATTATAGCAATTGAAATTAGAACTTGTAAATATTTGGTCATTTCCCTTCCACATAGCACTATCTCTGTAGCATGCTGCTTAGCATTAGCAAGTGATGTGTAATTCTAGTTAGACTAGTAAAAAAATTATCCTTAAGTATTTATTCCTTTCTAGATTTGTTCAGTCACACACAGAGGTCCAGCTGGACTCAGACCTCCCCTCCCACAACCATTTTGTTTTATAAAAAAAAAATGAAATTTAGTCATCCTGATACTGGATATTTGGTGTTTACCTCCTATGAAACATCTAGACACTGTTTATATTGTCTACGCAATTTAATTAATCTTGGGATACACTGAAGTTAAATGTAAACGAGCCTTCTGTGGTTAGCCAACCGGGCTGTAAAACAGCTGAATCGGCACAATCACACTACGAGCACCTGTCTTTTTCTTTTTCTGTTTTTAAGCTATTTAAACTTGGTGAAGATCTTTCCTTACAGCAACCCCATAAGCCAACCATGCAAGCACTGCTATCCCCATGACTTCATGGAGGAAACTGAGACTTAGGGAGATTAAACGATTTTACATAACCCCTAAATGTGGAAGAGTCGATTCAAATCTATCTGTTCTGAGTAGAAGACCAACACTTTTTCTACCACATCTTTAAAGGGCTATTAACTCCAAGAGTTTTGTTTTTGTTTTTAAATTTTAAGTGCTACAAGACTACTATTATTTAATGTTTCTTCTTTAAGTCATCCCCATATCATGGAAATTAAAGACAACATAATCAAAAGACTTCAGGATCGCTACAAACACTGTCTTTTAACTTTCTCCCATAGGTATTCAGTTTCAATTCTACATGAATTCTCCTTTCGGGAATTCTAAAGAGGGGAAATACCAAAGGAATGGGGAAAATCTCATTTGTAAGTATTACCAAAATAATAATAGATAATATTTATTTAGCATTTTAAGTTTACAAAACATTTCATTTTTTAATTAATTGATGTTTTGTTTTTATATTATAAATGATTACAGATTACCCTCACTACATAAGAGATCTCCTCTAACAAATAAACTAATTATTAAAATTAATAATATAGTGATCTCATCTGAAAGTGCATAGAACATTTCACACCTATAGTACCATCTTCTCCTCTGTATTTTAAAAAAAATTAACAAAAACATATTTTTCTGCCTCTCACCTTTTAACCTACTAGGGAAAAAAGAGAAGAGAAAAACAAATTTATTGTAATAGATATACATAGTCAAGTAAAACAAATTCCCTCAAAGGCTGTATGTATATACATGTATATACGTATATGTGTGTGTGTATATGTATATATACATATATGTGTATATACATTGTGACAATATAATAAATATTATATATGTGTGTAAATGTGTGTGTGTGTGTGTGTGTAACGTGTGTGTGTGTATGTGTAACTCTGTTCCCTAATCCCATCACCTCTATATCATGGATAGATTTCATCACCAGTCCTCCGGAATCACAATGGTCATTGTATTGATCATAGTTATTATAGCTTTCAAATTTTCTTATCTTTATACTATTTTTGTCATTGCATAGATTACTCGCCTGGCTCTGCTCATTTAATTCTTTGTCAGTTTACAAAAGGCCTCAAAATTATTGATTTTTATAATATTGATGTTATAGTATAATTTTTTATTCTAGTTCTGCTTACTTTGCTCTGCATCAGTTCATACAAGTCTTCCCCGTGTCTTTTTGAAATCATCTATTTCCTCATTTCTTATAGCACTTATATAGTTTCCCACCACATCAGTATACCACAACTTATCCAGCCATTCCTCAACTGACAGGCAGCCCTTTCATTTCCAGTTTTTTTGCTACCACAAAAAGCTGCTATAAATATTTGAGTACATGTAAGACCTTTTTCTCTCTTTTTGATCTCTTTTAGGTATAGACACTTTGGAATTATATATAAAATGTTACAAAACAATGTATGCCCTTTGACCCAGAAATACCACTGCTAAGTCTATATGTGAGGCACTTTACATACATTATCTCATTTGATCCTCAAAACAACTCTGTGGCATGAGTACTATTATTAATCTCATTTTACAGATAAGGAAACTGGGGCTGAGGAAAAATAAATGACTTATCCAGGCCCAATACAACTAGCATCTGAGGCCATATTTGAACTCAGGTTTTTTCCTGACTGCAAATCCAAGACAAAATAATAATAATAATAATAATATGCTTTAAGATTTGCAGTGTACTTCACATGTTATCTTTTTCGCTAACTATAAGGTACTATTATGCCCAATATGCCACAAAAGATGAAACAACAGAGCTTACTTTGTTCAATGACCTTCTGATTATTAATAACAAGGAAGGTATGAAATTAAAAGACTCATTCCCACTGCAGGTTTTTGTTACTGTTAGGAAAGAAGTTGTGTGCAGAATCCAAATTGAAGGATT